CTCTATTATATATAAGGAAAGAGATTTTTATTGCCTTACCTTTTGAACTTACCTCTTATTGCATCATGTGGGATTAATTCTTCTTTGTACAACGTCGTTTTGCTTCATTACTGATGTAATCAAGCAGTTAAAATGGAGTAAGAGAAGAAATTACTTAAGTATTCATGCAAGTTGTGATCACGTCTCACTTCTTACTGAAGTTAGCGATGAAAATGTCAAGAAGCTTGAGGATGAAACGTCCACGATCGAATACTATATCTTCAAGGAAGTCAAACAATGTCCATCCTTATCCCTGTGCTACAAATCTGTGTTATTTCACTATAACTGTTTGTTTTATGTCATCCGAAGATACAACCCAATGCAAATTTGTATAACTAGAGATAGAGGAAACAATAAAGTTAGCAGAGAAAGCGCTCACAAATGGAGTTTCTTAACTCAGACTGTGGCATGTGCTACTGATAAGATTTACCAGTAGTATGTCTTCGCTCAATACTCAAGATCAGATGGCCAGCCAGAAAAGATCAGAAATAGGGATCTCTGGGAGCAAACCAATCAGGTACCGATTGTAAAACAAATAGGCAGGAAGAAATGAAGATGGATTGGCCATACTCTGAGGAAACCATCAAGTGACATCACTAGACAAGCCATTGCTCGAGTGGAACCCGGTTGGGAAGCGGTGAGTTGGTCGTCAGTGCAAGGATGACTTGGAGGAGGTCATGTGAAGAGGAGATAAAAGCGTGTGGGCAGACTTGAAGCGGAGTGAAAAAGTTGGCAGAAAACCGAAGGCAGTGGAGACGCGCAGCTGAAGCCCTATGTTCCTCTAGGAATAAAGGAAATAATAATAATATGTGTAAAGGGGTGTACATCGGTATAAAACACCAAACAACAGGAAGATAGATTTGATTTCGGAGAAAGCAAATAATACAGCGTTGCTGAGATAGATACACGGGAGACGTGAAAGGAAAACAAAGAAATACAATATAAAAGCCAAAAGTAACACAACACGGTAGATCTGCGCAAATGGTGCGTTGAAGATAAGGTGTACATAATTTGGCTAAGTAGAGATACCAAATTGCAGATAAACACTCCTCTACCAAGTCTTTCGTATTCTACCCTTACAAGACCAGGAAATACAGTCCTATTACGAATTAGGTATTCTTCCAGATTTAGCCACTCTATCTTTATGATGTTAGAGTCTTTAGATCAAGACTATTTGAATCCACTCCGTTTTTACGACCTGTTTCTAGTTGGGTGTGTATTCAAGGCTACTATACGAAGATGTTGTTCGACGTCTTGTGGGACTCTGTAATTAATCGATCAATCGATAGTTTTTAAGAAACATCTGATTTAGGTGAAAATTTGGTTCTGCGATTTTAGCATTCGACTACTAAGGATAAAGGGTTATGTGTTCAAATGTGCTCCACTCACCTGAGCTTTAACAGTATAATGATATTATAAACTCTCTCACAATGACTTCAATTCATAGTGTGGTTCACGTGTATTGCATCTGATTTTGGTTATTATTATTAAGAGCATCTGGTCAGTAATCATGTTCATGGATGGTCACTGACTACAGATGTTCGCATTCTATCTCCCGTGTTAACTGGTAGAATATGTTGAATAATATTGAGGTTAGGCATAGGGTGCTACTTAAGAGATGGTAAGTCACTTTATAATAGGTGTATTTCATAACCCCAATACTAGGTAATCGAGTCCTACTAACCAAGTCATTTGATGCGGTTGTGAAACTACCCTGATTAAGATGACTAGTTCACGTGTTGCTTATAAACAAGCCATCACTTTCCTCAATAGGTAATGTTGGCTGACATAGGATTAGGTTCGAAAAGAGTTAGGGGTGGCCAAATAAAAACACGGTATCAATTCACGAAATCCTTGACTGTTGGCTTAATTCAGTCATGTAGGGAGGTGTAGACTGTCTAGTTTGGTTCCTGGAGACGCTAAAATCCAATGACTGGAGATGTATCCACTCTTTGTAATTTCTGAGACCCAGTAAATTCTCTTATTTTTTCCATGTAACTCTTCTTTCTTCCGTACATTTATGCTCATTATAGTCCTTTTGAATTTGATAAGGTTAAAATTGCTGTTGAGTGAGAATAAAGGTAGTTGAGTTGTCAATTTAACAAGTGTGAAGATAGTGAATTAATAAAGTAAAAGCAAACTAAAATTAAAAATTAAAAATTTATAGGGAAAGACTAGTGAAGAGGTTAAGACAATGGTATAGACTGGGCAAACTTTTTCTTTATACAGAGTTCGGGATAGTATTGACGAATTGCTAGCGCCTCCGCCATACACGAATGATGACACCTGATGACCCTTATGCAATTTGGCCTCACCTTGTAGATGATCTTGAAAGACGACTCTGGTGGAGCTACGTGGACTGAGTTCACCAAGTGCTCGAAAGGTAGTGAGCTAGTAATTGTCTTGCATTGTCCTTTTGCTAACCATGCCGGATAATGTTCAGAGATGCGTTTGGAAAGTGTGCGGTCGCTTTTTACAGCCAATATAACTAGCTCCACACGAGCAGATGAATTTATAAACACATACTGAAGTGGCCCAAACTGGCGGCAGTTTATCCTTCACACATCCATTGTTCATTTTTGGGCTGTAAAAATTGATCAACAGCTCAACCTCAAAGAAAGCTTTCCTTCACTAGTCGTTCCCTTTAAAAAATTTAAATTTTAAGAAATTTTAAATTTTACTTTTAGTTTGCCTTTACTTTTATAATTAATTCACTATTATCACTCTCATATGTTTCTTTTGTATATTTTTTCATATACATAACTCTGGTTTCCAACTGAATGGCTAAGGCTTCAACAATACAAAGGAGACAAAAGAATATTAGTGCGTCACTGGCACTGCGGTAGAACGTTCTCTGATCAGACTTGTAGTCCGGGGTCCGATCCTGTCCGACGCACTCCTAAACCTCGCTAAGTCAGTAATAAGACTGGTAAGTTGGGAAGGTTGGGAATGAGGCTAGCAACCTCATCCTGTAAAAATAAACACCACTGCTACCGAACTTTCAAAGCCCTAGATTGAAGCGCTATGTTCCACTGGGAACGTTAAGGAATAAAAAATAGCGTATTGCTTTTGCCAGATGTTCTTCACTTTGTAGACCACTTTGAAGGAGGAGGCGTTTGTTGAGATAAAATGACCAGTCTTGATGAGATGTACAGCCACTCTTATTGGGCAAACCTAATATACACACACACAAAAATAAGTATGTGTAATGCGATTCTACGTACAGTCAAGTGAATGAATTCAAATTCACTGAACCACATGTTTTGTTTTAATTAATGTCTAGATGAGGGTTATTCATGAATTTAGATTTAATTAATTCAAATATACTGAAGTCTCACCATCACAGAAGCCAATTAGTGACAATTTGGCTGTAGACAGTAAATCATGTTTTAAACATTGTTCATTAAATAAGACTGTCCTATCGCGCTACGTCAAATAGGCTAACTGATATGGAATTGTACTTCGTCATAATATCCACGTTAAACTGTTGCATAAATGTTTGATCTCTCGTTGCCAGATGTTCAATTCCCTTTTGAAATTAATGTACTGAGTATCAATTAAATGATCCTATCACTTAACTTTGCTTTTTTCTTTCAAAGGATATTCGTGACCCGAATCCTAGTTCCTCATGTAGAATATTTTTTCAACGAACTGCATCACCCTCCCCTGTACGAGATGTTGCATTTTGTCCAAAACAAGGATTCATGGTTGCAGCTGCACAAGAAAATGGTGTAATCAGTATATGGGATACTCGGAAAGGTTCACGTCCTATACGTGCATTTCAAGGTCACTCTTGTTCAATAGCCACATTAGACTGGCATCCAAATTGGAATGTAACATCGTGAGTAGAATTTTCATTATCCTTCTAGTGAATCGATTCCCTTTACCGTTATTTGTTAAATTTCTTGTGTCTGTTTTTGAGTGCTTCGTTGAATGGAAATGTGGCTCCATTCGCTTAAGCGCTCGAAATCCAGTTAGTGAACAACAAAGTAGTATCCTTAACCCCCAAACAGTAAGTGTGGTTTATAGTGCAGTACTGGGTAACTGAGATTTAACTACTAATCTACTTTGTTTAACACTCTACGGTTCGAAGTGCCTTGTTTAAAATGTAACAGCACTTAGATTGTTAGAGTTAGAAATCATAGTACATGACATATTGACCACTTCACCTATTTGGGAAGTTGTATCAGCACCAACGGACTGATTGGCGACGAAATCTCAGCACGGATCCAAAAAGCTCCAGCTGCTTTCGCTAACTTACACCATCTCTGGCGTAGGTGTGAAATCCGGCTATCAACCAAGGGACGTCTGTACTGCTCAGCAGTTCGTTCCGTCCTCTATGGCTCTGAAACATAGCCAATACGAGTTGAAGATATGAAAAGGTTGACTGCTTTTGATCATAGATGTCTGCGATCTCTTTCTCACGTTAGGTGGTTTAATAAGGTAAGTAATGTTGACGTTAGGCGTAGAGTGTTGGGCGAACAGGGAAAATCAATCGACGAGGCTATAAAGTTACATAGATTGAGATGGCTAGGTCGGTCACGTGGTGCGCATGCCTAACCATCGCCTCCCCCGACAGACGGGCATTACTAGCTGATATAGGTGAAGGTTGGAAAAGAGTAAGTGGTGGCCAAACAAAAACATGGCCTCATCAATCCATGAAATCCTTGAGAGTTAAACTGAGTCAGGTAGGAGGGAGATGCAGACTTCCGGGTTGGGGCCCTCAGGACTGACTCTAGGAATCAATGGCTGGAGACAATGGAGACATGGCTCAAAATCGTTGTCAATGGCCAGCGCAGATGTATTCAGTCTCTGTAATCTTTCATATTTCTTTATACCGTTACCCATTCTGTTTCACTCTTATACTTGTTAGACTCTATCGATTCTCTTCACTCATCTTCTTGTTTACCTTTGTGTGGTATTTGGAAGGTGGCAACTCGAACTGGTGCACTTCGGTGTCAAGTTCTATGTTGAATCCAGACAGATAGACAGACATTAAGGGAAGTTATATTAATGACTGATCAGGTATGTTAAAGCAGTGATTTAGTATCTATGGGCGAATTAAATAATGAAGGACCAAATAAAAAGTGCTTGTCGAGGCTAATTGGTAGAGGACCATAAATCACATTCTTGTAATTTCCTCCACTTGTTAGTGAAGTATCGCTCTGAAACCTGGTGAAGTTTCACGTCCACTTGGATTCTTTTGCTGATGGACTTCGGTAACAAGTAACAGGCAGTAACGATCCCATGTCATTTAACCTAATGACCAGATTACAAACGTTATCAAACGTCTGAAATCATAATTGGGGATTTTTGAGGTATGTCGTTACTGTCCGAATGCGTACTCTTAAATACCATATTTTTGACTGATGGTGTAACTGCAACTTTTTCGCTCAGGAAAATGACTTACAGCAGGAGCGTTTCCTAAATCACTTCTAGAATCTTTACACCTTTTGGAACAGATGTCGCTTACAAATCAACATGGCTTTTTTCCCTCAATACTATGTAAACCAAAAGACCCAACGATGAGAGAAGAAGAAAACCAACATCACATCTGTAAAAGAAGTTTTGAAATAGATTTTCATGGACTGCGGAAAACACTATATTCACCAAAGTGGATATCCTTTTCTTCGCTATATTGACTCACTTGAATACCTGCGACCACCGATTCGACTGAGATGGTGTAAAACGTCTTAGACATTAGAGAAATACCTTGAGGTCTGTTACGCATATCATTTGGCAGTTAGCAGACATGTGGATAGAGATTCAATTTATCAATCCATAAAAAGTAGATCACACCACCAGAAGGTCAAATATCACGGTGAAGTTGCCTGAAGTTCTAGCGAGAAGTCATGACCAACGGTGTCCACCACCGAGTTGGGTGTGAGAACAGATACTCACAATCACATTGGCTGGCGGTTGCTCCATATATTGCGAATCTGCAGAATTTAGAATTAATGAGCCACTAGATGTGGTCCTAGTGCCTGAATGGTCAACAAGCTCATCTTGTAGCGTGAAGCTCCTGGGCTCGACCTCTGGTGGGAAGACAGTTGAGTCCTGCTGAAGAGTTCCAGACAGTTAGTTGTCCAGTACTCCCATCGAACTTGAAATATCAGATCAGTAAGAGGATCAATATCATTATGAGCAGATACAGTTTTAAGAAAATCTACAGGAATAATCAATTGGTATGAGGGGGTCACTCAGACTGAAAAACGTATTTGATCCATGGAGAATTAATTCCTAAAGCCCATATCACACTGAAATTAGCATTAAATATGCTGTCCGGAAGAATAGCGAAAGCTTCGCAATTATCAACTATACAGTTCAGAGAACATAACCACATCGAAAACATTATTATTATTGTTCCCTAGTGGAAAATAGGGCTTCAACTGCACGTCTCCACTTGCTTCTGTGTTCTACTGTGCTTTTCACCTGCATCCATGTTAGTCCATACTGTTTCAACTCCTCTTCACACGATCTCCTCCATGTCACCCACCCTTGCACTGACGTCCCACTCGCCGCTTCCCTTTCGGTCTGGTGCCACTCGAGCAATGGCCTGACGCGCGCGCGACGTCACCTAGCCGCCTCCTCAGCGAGTGTCCTATACATCTCCATTTTTCTTGCATATTTGTTGGGCGATTGGTTCATGTTCAGTATAGAGCGAAGACAGTTGTTGATTAAGGTCTGCAACCTGTTGGAAAACATTCATATGATCTAAAAATCTTCTCCATTGTTCCAAGATATTTTCTGCTGAGCAGATTATTTTCTATCTGCTGGTGTCCTACGGCTAGATCTGTTCCTATCATATAAACTCCTCAAATGATTCATAGAGAGCCTCACTTTTTGCTTATACGGTGATTAATGACCTTTAGTCGTTGTGATTGATCTCTCATGGGTCGATATATTTGGTCGAATTCTTGTTTTCCGTTACCTAATCCAAAGAAAAACTGTAAATGCGTTAAGTGGATTTCAACTGTCATTAAATTCTGATGAGATTATTTTGTTTCCTTTATTTTACTTTCATGAAAAAAAGATGTAACTGGTTGGCGACAGCTGGTGCTAGAGATCATCTAATCAAAGTATGGAATCTAAATAGTCCTAGTGGACAAAGTTCTGTTACTTGTCCTACTGTCTTATATACTGTACGTACTACAAATGTAAATCGGGTACGATGGAGACCTACTTTTGTAAGTCTATTTATTTGTTTTGCTTTGGCATTTATTCCTTCTTTTTGTACGATGCATTTTGTTTTTGACATTCTTTGGCCTTCCAAGTAGTGGAATATATAGGGTTTCAAGCTTAAGGTTCTAATTTTCAGTGGCGGTGGTGTTCTTTTACGGAGTAGAGCCCCTCATGTAACCTTCTCATTTTACAGGGTTTACTACTGGCTAGGCAAAGTTTAGAAGTGTTGTGCTGACCAGGAATCGAATCCAGATCACAATGCATTGGCTTGATACAATTGTTATTTCTATGAAGAAAGGAAGACGAAATTTGCAGTATAAAATGATATCATTCTATTTCACAGGTTCTCATCAGCTGCAGACTACCTGAAATTACAATGGTTATATAGATGATAATAACATACTTTAATGTTCGAGTGGTGGTAGAAAAGAGATGCTATAAAATTGACGCATCTAAATGAAAGCATTACAATGTTTTTAGTTTAAGTTTTCATCATCAATTTATACGCTTTTAAAGTTGAAAAGAGGGGGAGGGGTAAGAGGAAAACAGAAAAAATTGATTAACAGAACAGTGTTAGCCTTTAGGTTCCCATAGCAACTCAAGAAACAAAACGGTTACAGTTTATGAGATTAAGATTTGTTCAGTGAGTTGAGATCACTGAATTAGATGACTAATCAAAATCAAAATTCTGTTACCAAGGGAGTGAGAGGTTAATCACACTCTTTCTGTATGCATAAGTCTGGTTCAAGTCTTTTGTTATTATTGTTATTATATCCTTTAATTCCTAAAGAAACATAGGGCTTCCGCTGCGCGTCTCCATTGCCTTCTATTTTCCGCCAACTTTTTCACCCCGCTTCAAGTCTGCCCACACGCTTTCATCTCCTCTTCACATGACCTCCTCCAAGTCACCCTTGCACTGACGACCAACTCACCGCTTCCCAACCTGGTTCCACTCGAGCAATGGCTTGTCTAGTGATGTCACTTGATGGTTTCCTCAGCGTATGGCCAGCCAATCCATCTCCATTTCTTCCTGCCTATTTGTTTCACAATCGGTTCCTGCTGTGTTGGTTCGCTCATTGCCAGAGATCCTTCCCTGTTCCTTATCTCTTCTGGCCAACCATCTGATCTTGAGTGGTATTGGGCAAACACAGTTAGCTGTTGATGATGGTCTATAGTTTGTTTGAGGTACTCTTTATGACGCGCTGGCCAAGTCTCTGGTCCGCATAGAAAGTAGCACTGACTTCATATTGGAGTTGAAAATCCGGATGTTATTTTTGATGGTGAGTGATGTTGACCTTCTGCCAGCTTGTTGCTGCTTTTCACTTGCATATCTTCCAGTTTGTGGGAAATCAGACATATATCATCGGCGAAGTCCAGATCCTCCAATTTTTTTTTGTGAGTCCATTTTATGCCTGTTTCCTCATTGCCCGCCACTGTCTGTCGCATTGTCCAATCTACTGCAATCAGGAAGATCATTGGCGATAGTAGACAGCCTTGCCTGACTCCCGTCCTCACTTCGAAGGCTTGATACAATGTTTACATCTATTAACATTTGAAATGTGTTCACAGTATTTAGACAGTTCCTGATATAGATTTTCGTGTTAGGAGTGCTTTTTATATTGTCTCAGTCAATATCACAGGTACAACAGTCTTTCTACATCTTTTTGATATTACAGCCATTTATTTTTTACTATATCAGAATGTTAGAACACAAAGATTTCTACTCAAAGACAGTCAGTTGATGATGAACTCCAAAAGGGAAAAGATAAGTATTGGGTTCAGAAATAAGACTGAAGCAGAAAGTATGATACTGAATCCAATTCATCATTTGAAAATTACATGTTCGATCAGGAAGTGACATCAGTTAGAGAACCATTGAAAAACCATGGACAGCTGTTTCGTCCTAATCTGGGATTCTTTATGAGTACTTACCCACATGTCGCAAACTAGGACGAAACAACTTCTAGTGTAACAACAGAAGACAAGGGCCAGGCAACAGATCGTTTTATTATGAAAATCAACACGTATTTATACATATTTCAGACAACATTATTATAGACAAGCGCAGTCATCTGATTGGTTGTTTAGGTAGACAAACGCAGGCTTCTGATTAGTTGTTTCGGGATTCCTTGACAAACAGAGTTCTCTATCTGCGAATCATATTTTGCCACGTTAACTTCGCTGTGATTGGTTGTTGACTCAGCCTTGTTCACGGCCCATATTAGTGACCTAGACCTTAACGTAGATTAGTGCCAACCAATCGGCTAGCAGCCTGCTCTCACCACACTAGTACTGCCTGGTTTACTTCATATTTTTTTAGTGTGGTTGCGTTCTATCTGGTTGCTTCAGCTGTCATTCCTTTATTGAAAAAGCTGACTGTTTTTTATCATAGATGTCTGAGATCTCTTTCTCACGTTAGGTGGTTTAATAAGGTAATTAATGTTGACGTTAGGCGTAGAGTGTTGGGCGAACAGGGAAAATCAATCGACGAGGCTATAAAGTTACATAGATTGAGATGGCTAGGTCGGTCACGTGGTGCGCATGCCTAACCATCGCCTCCCCCGACAGACGGGCATTACTAGCTGATATAGGTGAAGGTTGGAAAAGAGTAAGTGGTGGCCAAACAAAAACATGGCCTCATCAATCCATGAAATCCTTGAGAGTTAAACTGAGTCAGGTAGGGAGGGATATGCAGACTTCCGGGTTGGGGCCCTCGGGACTGACTCTAGGAATCAATGGCTGGAGACAATGGAGACATGGCTCAAAATCGTTGTCAATGGCCAGCGCAGATGTATTCAGTCTCTGTAATCTTTCATATTTCTTTATACCGTTACCCATTCGGTTTCACTCTTATACTTGTTAGACTCTATCGATTCTCTTCACTCATCTTCTTGTTTACCTTTGTGTGGTATTTGGAAGGTGGCAACTCGAACTGGTGCTCTTCGGTGTCAAGTTCTATGTTGAATCCAGACAGATAGACAGATTGAAGTAAGCTCTGAAGACGTTGTCCTGAAGGACTGTGATGACTTCACACTCAAACCACTTCACCTAGAGGGTACAACCACACCATTTCTTCCCCTTTATTTTAAGCTTCTAATATACATGATAAACTTTCCTTTTTCCCCTTAAATTTGAGTAAACTGGAAAATTTCTTTTGGAGAATTTTCTGATTAAAACACTGATTTTTTTTCTTCTAAACGCTTAATTTGATTACCTTTCAGATGACACAACTTGTATCCAGCTGTAATCTTACAATCGATTTAAGCGTACATGTATGGGATTTACAACGACCATTTATTCCATATGCATCATTTGAAGAGCATAAAGATCTTGTAACATGTAAGTTTTAATTTTATTTCTTTACTTAACTTTTCTGTTTATCTTGTACTACTCTTGCATCTTACCTATTCTCCTTTATTCTTCCTTGGGTTGCTTAAAAAAGACTATGTCATACCTCGTAGGACCGTGAAGACTGTCAGTAGGACGAGTGGTAGCAATCCATTGGGCCGTATCGTTGACATCGTCATTGATAGGCGCTCGAATTTCATGCAACAAATTTACTAAAGGGATTTTGTCAAATTGTGAGCATTCCCTTTGATTGAAACTTCCACCTTGTGTCTCCACAGGTAAAACAAAAATTCATTTCGAAAGGCTTTTCGCGCGTACATCTAAGTATAAAAATTCCACTTTACCATATTTGGTACGTGTTTTATGTGATGAAAATAGTGTTAAGCATGAACTAACCAACCTTCTTTGGGCTGGTTAATAAACCATTTTCGCCACCATTATATCATCAAGCTTTACTGTTATTATTCTTCTTATATTTATAATCTCATTTTTTTTTTGTTTATTTTCTCCTAAGTGTAAAGATCATTTAAGCTGTGTAATAACTTCGTTTACTGTCTCTATTTCGCATTTCTTTTACTTTCTTCTCTTGCTTTGTGTGCTACATGGAGTCTGTGCGTCTTGAACTGCTGCACATCGGTGCAAAGTTCTATGTTGAAAACAGGCAGACACACACAGACAGACAGACAGTGTAATAACTGTTATCTTTTGTTTTTCCCGTCACCGTGATGTATCAAGAGAACATTAGATTCAATACTCCATAACATGCTGAAATTTCCATACTGTATTGCCGAAATTGTTTGAAACAAACGCACTGTTGTTATTATTATTATTATTATTGTAGTTATTCTTTTCACTTTGTATTTTGCACATTTGTGACATTTATTCCTACTGTAAATGTGGATAAATTCCTGTGATTAATTTTATTGATATTTTGAGTAAATTAGATGCAATATTGTGTGTGTGATAAATGGTGAGAATTTCATGCTGTTTTATAAGTACTGTTTTTGGAATAAAGCAGATTATTATTATTAGTGTTATTAAAATGTTAACTAAAACGAGTTTTCAGTACAAGTAGGTAATAATTTCAAAAATATTTGAAGTGGAAAACACGCATTGAGTCAGATGAAATGTTCAATCTGTAGCTAGACAAGCGTAGATTGATTTACTGGAGTAAATAATCCAGTAAATAAAGACTGTTTCAATGTGTGATACATCTAATAAACATACTAATATGAAAGGTGTACATTGAATTGGTTATTTTCACCGATTTAGAGTTGTTCAGTGTAGTGATAATTGTGTGATAGATCAACTAACCGAATGCTCTAAGTTATGCGTAAAATCCAAAAACATAAGATGTGTCTAAATTACGGTACTGTATTGTCATAAAATGTAATAAAAAACGCCTAAAATCGTGAAGTTTTTATGGTCGAATGCCAATCAAACGCACAATCACTGTGCATCAATAAACATAAAACAGCAAAGCCGTTTCAAGAGTGATCCAGCGAGCAAATGTTAAGATCTACCTGTCTGTCGGTCTGGTTCCAACATAGAACTTTGCACCGGTGTGCAGCAGTTCGAGTCGCCACACTTCACTTAGCACTCAAAGCCAGAGAAGAAAATAAATAGAAACGCAAAATACCGACAGTAAACATAGCTATGAGGTAAAAAAAACAGTAATATAGAATAACAATGTAGTTTCATTGGAAATTGTAAGTCACAAGAAATGGATGCATCTGCTCCAGCCATTGAGCACGATTTGGAACCATAACACCAATTGACTCCAGCCAATGGTGTTTATCGTCCCGAGGACTCCGACCAGGAAGTCTACACCTTCCTACGTAACTGGTGTAAACTAACTGTTGTGGATTTCATTGACTGATGAAGTCATGTTGGTTTTGGTCTGGCCACCACTAGGCTCTTTTCCAGCCTGACCCTATATCAGCTAGCATTGACAGTCGAGGAAGGAATGTCCAGATAAAAAAAATAGAGGGGAGGATTTGCATTATCAATGTTCAACAGTGACTGGAATATAAACAAGGCATGTACAGTGTATACGGTTTAACCATAAGAAGATAATTAGTATTTACCAAATAGAATATTACTGTATTGCGTCGGTGATACAGCAGTTAGGACTCTCATCGACCATCCAAATGGTCTAGGGTTCGATCCCCTACCGACGCACATTCATATCAATGGTCAGCCTGCAAAATTGGGCTACAGATATCACATGGTGACAATTCCTTACTAATAGCAAAAGTACTCTGTGGAGTCAAGCTAAAATAAAAGAAAAGAAACAACAAAAACACTTCAATGTTTAGTAATAACTATATAGACTTATACTACTTACTAGTGATAAGTAGTATAAAGTTGAACAAAAAAGAAAGTATTGCTTGCGAAAGAGGATTTTCGGTGAGACACTCAAATATTTTCATTAATCTTCGTTGTATGATACTCCACTTCTCTCACACGCATACCGTTCTGTACCTGTTCTTGTAACTTATATCAGTAGCTGACACTTTGTCCTCAAATACTGTTCCTTTCACACCATGACTGAATTGTAACCAGTCGTCCCCAGAAGTTCTTACTTCTCTCACAGATAAATTTCAATGATCATTGTGTTTTCCTGAAAGCCTGCATGTTCACAATCTAAAAGTAGAACTTTTCAATTAAATACCATCCAGGAATTCAAGTTATCCAGTATCTGATTTGTCATTCAACTAAATGAATATCAGTTTTCTTTCATATCGCAAATCCTCATAATTTCCTCTTATTATTTCAGGTATATCTTGGTGTCCTGCTGAAACTAATAATTTTTATACTGTTGGTCGTGATGGTTTACTTATACGTCATAGTATTAAAGATGGGATTCGGCCAGCAGAGAATGCATCCCCTGTAGCCTTATCAATTAGTCCATATGGGCATATATTACATGCTGTTAGTAAAGATCGTGTTGAAATTAGTAAAAAGTTATCTATAGTTGAAGAGAAAAGCAGTGTCACTTATCCTCCAAGTAAGTTGACTCATTCATTCATTTTTAAGTAATATAAACATTGGCTGTGACTCAATGTGTGACTATAATCTTTTTCAAAAGCTATTGGTTTGTAGGGATTTGATTAGTTTGATGTTTAATCACGGACTGATATCACTTGGGGAATCCAGTGGTTCAACGGTCAAAGAGGTCGCCTCGTAAGCTGACGGGCTGTGGCTTCCATCCGCAGTGGGGTCATGGGTGCGTACTGTTGAAGAAGTCCAAACCGGAATAAAACAACTAGTCTTCTAACTGATATAATCTTTATGTCAAGGTTTGATCATCCTGTATTGTTCTGAATAGTTTTCTTTTAGGTCATACAGGAACCTTGCTGAAAGATATTTTGTTATTCGCTTTCAAATTATTTATCAATACGTAGAGTACCATGATGAACTCACTCACCATTAGACCTTTCAGTATTTAGCAGTTAAATGTGTAATATTTTAGCACTCAGTGACTAGTTTTAAGGGTGGTTATGCAACTGCTGTTGATTACAATGTCAGAGCATATATTTCATCCAATAACACCCGTGTGAAACTTTTAGTATAATCATTCTCTTCACTTGTCATCATTTCTCCGTCAATTGAAATGAATACAAATCCCCACAAAATCTCATCATCTAAATATCAGCCTCCATCTCATTAATGGCTATTGGGTTGGATGTTTTGAAATTGAACTAAAAAGTTGTGACCAGTGTGGATGATCCACCGTGTGTTATGCTGAAGTGAATGCTCATCGAAGACATTAGTTGATAGAGCAGCACTATATCACGGATTGGCCCAAATGGTCGAACAGTCAACGAGTCTGATCTGTTAACCTGGAGATCTTGGGTTTGAACCCTGGTGGTGGCGTTGTAGGTGTGTAGCACTGAAGAGTCCAAAATAGGACGAAACAGCCGTCAAGTATTATTGATATAAGTATAAAATTTAATCTAATCAATCTGAAAAATGATACAAACATCATTATCACAAAAGCTGATAAAGGAAACTCCACATTAGTTTTGACAAATCTGATTATATAAAGAAAGCCACTGAACACATTGAAACGGGTCCATATGAGGAAATTAAGAAGCCTGTAGATACAGTAATGAATAAGGTTAAGAAATCTAAAGCGGATTTAATGCGCAGAATGAAGCTGTCAATGGGTGAGTCGAAATGGTTTAATTTTATGCCTAAAACTAATAACGCTAGTAGAATATATGGTACTATAAAAATACATAAGCCAGGTTACCCCATAAGACCAATAGTAGATTTTAGAAATAACCCCACGTATGAATTATCAAAACAATTAGCTCTAATACTATGCCCCATTAGAAATCGTTCAAACTCTAGATTAACTAATTCATATGAGATGAAAAATAAAATAAATGACATTCAACTAGCGAATGATGAAACAATGGTTAGTTTTGATATAACTAGTCTTTATACTAATAAACCAATCAATATGCCCGCCTTAGAAGCAGTTGAAAGAGAACTAACTGCGGATCCTGAACTCACTCATAGGACAAAGCTGTGCATTGAGGAAATTATTTTAGTAATTCAGTTATGCTCCCTCACATCTACTGTCTACAAATTCTACGGCGAAATATATGACAAACAGATGGTTCAGCAATGAGATGGATCACTAATATCCTCTGTTTTAGTAAATATATTTATGGACAACTGGGAAGAAAGTGCTTGTAATACGCTAAATCCTACTAAAAAAATATGGTGGAGATATGTGGATGACACTTTCACACACAGTGTTAAAAACGGTACATATCCCTAGCTTCTTAACAAATATAAACTCACTAGTAGAGGGAATAAAATTCATGTCTGTTTTCGACATAGAACTTTGCACCAATGTGCGGCAGTTCAAGTCGCCACACTCCATAAAATTCACACTTACATCGGAAAATGAACGAGGAGAATTAGCTATCATGTTAGATTGTAAAATCAACCGGACAGAAGAAAGTAAACTGCACACTAGCGTTTATAAAAAGCCAACGCATTCTGCAAATAGATATTTAGACTTTAATTCATCTCATCCATTGTCTGTAAACGCAGGCTTAGTCAAGTGTCTAACAAACTGAGCGACAGCCGTCAAGTACTATTTAGTTCTCAATTGTTCCCCAACTGAAGTCGACTCATGGTTAAAATACACAATTTTGTGTCTTGAATTACCCTTTTTTTTAGAAAGTGTACTTTTATTATTATTAATATCAGGTATTCTTATTCTTCTTTTTCCAAATCTTCCTCCTTTTAGTCCATAGCAGTATGAAGAATCCTAATCAAATGACTAATCCAAGTCGTCGTTCCAGTATGAATATATTTCCACCAGGTTATTATGCTTCTCCGAATTCCACGTCTACTTCGTCGGCCAATTTCACCCCTATTACTACTACTAATAATAATAATAGTACCACTACCGCCACTATTACAGGCAATGGTACTTTAACCTGTACAAATCCTGAACTTCCAACAGTACCAGTCACCTCTGTTAATACTGATAAAGTATTAAGTAGCTTATCAGAGCCAACTGGAGCACTAACAACAACAACAACAACTCAAACTGTTACCACTACAACAGTCTCCTCAGATCAACCTGTTAGTAATAACAGTACTGCTAGTACTACAAATAATATGACCAACATGTCTACACTTCCTACGGTTACTACATCTGTTACTGGACATCAGACTACTTCAGTTGTGAATGAGTGTACAGTTACAACACCTGCAATAAATAAGCTATTTAATTACACATCTAATCTACCTCCAATGGGATCATTGAAGTCAGCTAAGTTATTTGTTTCACAAGCACATAGTCTTATGTTCCATTATGAACCGTGTTTAGAGGTATGTTGAATTGTTTTGTCTTGTTTCTTGTATATATATTTTTATAAACTTTAAGAAACACTGGTGCTGTGTCTTATCTTTCTTTTAACTGTCATTCTTGAGAATGGACTCCGTTTTCTTGATAGTAGTCACTCTGGTTTCTAAAACTACGATGATTGGATCTTTAATCGGTCGTAAAATGACGATGTTCTCATTGCTTATCAGATGTTTTATTACTGCTTGGTGTAATTTAGACATGATTTCATATAATGGAATTGGTGAAGAAATGTACTGATTGGAAATATCGACTAATCTCCACTGGAACCAATATTTTCTGTTGTCACTGATGGGATGTAAGTCGGTTAATTGGTTGAATAGATCGTCGAATTCGGACGTGGAACTTAAATCTGAGTTAGATTGTGTCATTCTCTGTGCAATTTAGCTTCATACTTGATAGATTAATAAAATATTTTTCAGGGTTTTCAGGAAAGCCTTCATATGACTTTTCCGTCACTAGTGTCTTTGATAGGGTCTTGCAGGAGTTTAGAGAATTTCTGCACCGTAGATCTTGGATGAGATTTATGAACTGCATCCTTCAAACAATGCATAAATCAATGACGACATGTTTGAACGAACCAGCTTCCCAAGCTCAGTTTTGTAATCAGCAACTTCGTCAACTCTCTTTGGGATTTTGTCACACGTCTAAGATTATTAACAGAGGCAGGAAGTGTACAAGAAAGAAGGTTTTTCATAAATCGACGCAGGAAACAGCATGAGCATAAACACTCATCATAAAACTTAATGGGATGTTCTGCAACACATGGTCACTAAATTATCCAGAGACTTGAATGATTAACATTCTGCCTCTTATATACAAATTTGGTTCTTGATAGTGATCAGGTGCCAAAACGTTGTTCTTCTTAAAACGTCATCCACTAAATACAGCCTCTTGAATCGTAGACTTAAGCACTCGACTCTCATTCAATGGGTCCTGGGGTTCGAACCCCTCCTCATTTACCCAACCTGGAAAACTAGGTAGTACCTTTAACCTTCACTTAGTATGTGTAGCTTGTTACTGGTGAGTTCTAACATAATTCTGATTTCATTTGTGCAGAATTGTAATTCACTGAATCAAGAACTAAACATCCAGTCATTCAACGACAAGCTGAAATCCTGTTCCAACTATTTAGGCCTTTGGTAAACAGATACTTGACGCATATTACCCAAAATACGAATTTGTATCTGTCTTTATGAAGTAGCCATAAGAAATTGGCTGTTTTATATTTATCTTGGCAATCAAATCAATCAGTCCGTGGTCAAACTCGTGAAAAACAAATCTAATCCTTACCAACCAACTCTTGAAAATTAATCTGAAGCTCGCTAGTGACTTGTTGCAGGATGGAGTTTCCTGGAATTCTAGTGGGAAGTCGTGACCAATGAGGTCCATCCATTCGGGAGTGATGATGGGTTTCCCGCCGATGACACTGGTTGGTGTTCGCGCTAAATCACGAATTCGCAGAAGTTAGAATTAATGGACCATTGAATCAGTTCCCAGTAACTGAATGAATGAATGCCTTGTAACCGGAAGGTCCTGGGTTAGAAACCCAGGCGGTGGGTGCGTACTGCTGATGATTCCAAAACTAGGATGAAACAGCTGTCCAGTACTCCCTGGTTTCCAGTGGTTCTCTAATTGATTTTAATCCGTGGTAAAACTCGGAAAACACAACTAATCCTTAGAAATCAATTTTTCAAAATCAAAATAGTACCTGTCAAAGTGTTCTTTTGGTTTTTCCTTTTTTCCACAAAAAACAATTATTTCTTTTTTTTTGTTAATTACTTTAGGCAATTTGTCAACCTGAGTTGGCTAGTTTCAGCAATGCTCTACTACCGGATTTAATTATTGCACTGGCAAGAAATTATAAATTCATTGGAACAGGTGTTGATGCAATATGCAAGCATAATGCTGCTGTTTGTTTAAGATTTGGTCAACCATTTGTAAGAACTATTTTTACTATATCTGTGACACATTATATATTATTATTATATCCTTTAATTCCTAGAGAAACATAGGGCTTCCGCTGCGCGTCTCCATTGCCTTCTGTTTTCCGCCAACTTTTTCACCCCGCTTCAAGTCTGCCCACACGCTTTCATCTCCTCTTCACATGACCTCCTCCAAGTCAACCTCACACTGACAACCAACTCGCTGCTTCCCTTTCGAGTTCCACTTGAGCAATGGCTTGTCCAGTGATGTCACCTAATGGTTTCCTCAGAGTATGGCCAATCCATCTCCATTTTTTCCTGCCTATTTGTTTCACAATCGGTTCCTGCTGTGTTGGTTCGCTCATTGCCAGAGATCCTTCCCTGTTCCTTATCTTTTCTGGCCAACCATCTGATCTTGAGTGGTATTGGGCAAACACAGTTAGCTGTTGATGAAGTTCTGTAGTTTGTTTGAGGTACTCTTTATGACGCGCTGGCCAAGTCTCTGATCCGTATAGCAGCACTGATTGACTTCACATTGGAGTTGAAAATCTGTATGTTATTTTTGATGGTGAGTGCTGTTGACCTCCATACAGACTTGAGAGTAATGAAAGCTTGTCTTACTTTTCCGATTCTGGCTTTGATATCCTCATCAGTTCCGCTTGTGGTTGAAACGATGATTCCCATGTTGGTAGGTAAAGGAGGTTGTTTCTTTCAGGTTCCTCCCTTTTATATTATATATATACATACATAATACTCTGTTCACATGCCAGCTCCTAATGTAGACACCTCGACGATGTATGATTGTTAACATCATCCCATTTGGTTGGTGGTGGCTATCAGTAGAATCACAGAAGTGTACGTCGTCCTGTTTAGATCTCGTCAACTGGATATGTTTGTGTTTCTCAGCAACTTATGATGTTCCCACTGGAACTCAACTTAAACTCAGCACTCATCATTTCCAAAGCTTATATCGTTACCCACTACACCCAGTGGTCAAATCAGGGTCAGCTAGATTGTTATTTGTATTTGTAACTGTTAATCGATAACAGCTAAAGTATGCGTGTGTGTGTGTTGTTATTTGATATATTGATGTATTGTTTGTAGTAAAGTGTTTCAACGTGGTTATGCATATTTAACATTTCTAAATGATTTATTCAGACCAGAATTTTTCCTTTTTGTTATTTTTGTTTGATTTCATTGATTGATTGGTTGATTTACTGAGTTCCAGTGTAGAACTTTGCACAGAAATGTAGCACTTCAAGTTGCCACAGTCCACTCTGTGTAGCCCAAAACGGAAGACTAAAGAGGATGAAAAAGAGGTTCAAAAGGACTAGAATGAGCAGAAATGTACAGGATAACGACTAGCTACATGTAAAACCATGAGGGTTCCCTAATGGATCTGGGTGATCACAAAGACCGAATGAATTTGTGATATGCTGAGAACGATTACCAGCCAAATCACACCGATAGTCTGCAGCTATTGGTTCTTAGCATCCTAGAGTCTCCAACTAGTCAGCCTACACCTCTCTACGTGCCTGGCTCAAACCAACTTTTAAAGACTTCATGGATTAACATCAGGTTTTTGTTTGATTACCTCTAACCCCATTTTCATGCTGGTCTCCTATATCAGCAAACATTGCTCCTCAAGGAAAGCGGTGGCTTCGTATGCTCAGCATGTGTCCAAGCCGTCTCATTTCGCTACTGAGGTTGATTATTTTCTGTATAAATACAAGCCTTTTCCATGTATTTCAACTTTATCCAAATAGAATTTGACATTCACTTTTGATAGCATACATAGCTGCATAGTCTTACATACAATCCGTATGGATATAAGACGAATGAGATCCCGTAAATTGTATCGGATAAGCACCACTGTTATCCATATTTTGAGTTATGTATCTGTAGCTCTACGAATGAAAATGAAATGTTACCCAACAATCACTGGCAATCCCATGCAGCTAACATTGAGTTACACCTAGGACCAGTAGTGGCAGTGTTGTGGTGCAATACAGACAATGTGTCCCTACGGACTAGGATTTTTACACATTCCCACAGTTCAATACTACATTGGCAACAGAATACTATATATGTATTTGAAGCTTCTGTTTCATGTCTTTTAATGTAAACCAAAATCACAAGTTCAGTGATTGGTTAAAGCATATAAACTGTATATGTATAAATAGCGGTTTGATCGACTGAAAATTTATACTTGCTTTCGTGTCTTGCCTTCTGCTGTTACAGTACTCTACCTAGCTACCAAAATCTTGGTAAGCGTAGCAGGATTTTGAACCGATGACTCACTTGGTTGGAAATCGAGCACTTAGACCAATGAGATACAACCTCACCTTTAACTCCCTGACTAAAGAAGGCTTTACAGCACGTGTTTAACATGTTTTAGCAGAAAAAGTAAAGTCATCGTTTATAGAACTATTTTCTTGTCATGTATTGTAGACTAGTCTTTCGAGCTTTAAATGAATGAATATTCAAAATGAACTCATTCGAAGTCTGATACATTCACATGGAATTTATTAACCCAGTAACTTTTATCTCCTTTATTATGATAATATTTGGTTGTACAGACCCGAATATGTGAAATCGTTCAGAGTATGAGGCCCTTATAGCCTAGTGAATAATGCTTGAGGCAAGTAGCTAAGATATTGCGTCGGTGGTTCAGCAGTAAAATGTTCTCCGACCACGCATGTGATCTAGGATTTGCCCCTCGATCGACGCACTCCTAAACCTCGCTATGTCAGTAGTGAAGTCAATGGAGAAGAAAGGCTGATTGATCGTGAGGCAAGCAATTCCACCCCGTAAAAGTAAAACCACAGCTACCGAAAATTCAAAGCTCTAGCTGGAAACCCTATGTTCCAGTTTATGCATAAAGTAATAAAATAATAATAAATACCTAACATATTGAAACAAACAAGATTATGAGAAAACTAAAGTGCTGGACATATCTATTTAAATAGTCTAGCTGTTGTTCATCTATTAAGGAGCTTAAATACCAACTAATGAGTTGTGAGTTCGAACGTAGCTACAGCTATCAAGGTTTGGATAGCCAAGTAGTATAGAAATACAGATGTTTATTGAGTAACATTTCTGTCCCCATAAAAGTCTAGCAAGTTAGTCTTTGTAAGGGTAGGTTTTTTGTGAAAAAAACAACCAAAACGAGCAGTTCACCGAAGAGGCCTTTTTTCGGTAAATTCATTCTCTTTATTTGTATACCATTGGTGGATGGTGGCTAGCAGTGGAATCCAGGATGCGCATTTCGTCCTATTTGGGACTCGTCAGCTGGATGTACCTGCATTTCTCAGTGAGTAATGATGTTCCCACCGAGGCTCGAACCCATGCCCATAGTTTCAAACGCCAAAGCGTTATCCACTAGACCACTTGGGCCACGAGAGCCACCTCTTGTGCAACGGGTCATATTAATTATTGAATTGAATTTTTGATTTTCCCGTCGATTGATTGGACCGAAGTGCTCGGTCTCAGGTTGACATGTCGGCTTCTTGTGCAGATGCTTCGACGATGTCTGGGGATTTCATCAATCGACGGGAAAATCAAAAATTCAATTCAATAATTAATATGACCCGTTGCACAAGAGGTGGCTCTCGTGGCCCAAGTGGTCTAGTGGATAATGCTTTGGCGTTTGAAACTATGGGCACTGGGTTCGAGCCTCGGTGGGAACATCATTACTCACTGAGAAATGCAGGTACATCCAGATGACGAGTCCCAAATAGGACGAAATGCGCATCCTGGATTCCACTGCTAGCCACCATCCACCAATCGTATACAAATCAAATCCCCAGACATCGTCGAAGCATCTGCACAAGAAGCCGACATGTCAACCTGAGACCGAGCACTTCGGTCCAATCAATCGACGGGAAAATCAAAAATTCAATTCAATCATTCTCTTTATCTATAAAATCGCATTTATATACAATTTTCCACGAGAAAGAGTAGAAACAAAAGTGATGAGTTGTCATAATCATAGTTATTAGTTAATATTGGTCAATGCCTAAGAGAGGAGTTGAATAATTGTATTACAATTACGCAATAAGATGAGCAATTCAGTGAGTTGTAGTTAGGATGCACATAGAAACGAAGGGAAATATGGAATTGTGTACGAGTTCTAAAGAGATTCAAATTTATTTGGAGTTTTAAAAAATCAAGTCAATAGGAATCAACACTAATTGTTACTGTGATTAGTAGGAGTGATTGAATAATTCTGTCTTTTGTATGCAGAACTCCCGTCTCTCTCTCTCTCTGTTTGAATGACCAGGACTTTAGCAGTGTAAAAGAGAAGAAAGAGTATTATCTTTGGTCAGGTGGCTCGTCACCTCGTAGAATACTTTGAACAAGTAGTTTGTTGAGATGGATTGGCTAAGTGTTCAACTATAGCATTCCTTATGCAGTCACCGCTATCTTTCTGTAACCATGCGGGATAGTGTTCTTAAGGTACTAATCAGTATTAAAAACTATGTTTACGACAACTCATCACTTGTCAGTATCATCTTTTATGATAAGACTGTACATAAATTCGATTCTACAGGTAAAGAGAATGAATTCGCCGAAAATAGCCTCTTCCCTGAACCACTTTTTCATTAATGCCTAGATAAGGTTATTCATATATATTTTATTGCTGTCTGTCTGTTTTCAACATACAACTTTGCATCGATGTGCAGAAGTTCAAATCGCCACACCCCATGTAGCAGACGAACCAAAAGAAGAAAGTAGAAGAAATGCAAAATATTGACAGTAGACAGGGATATGGGACAAAAGGAATAGTAATAACGAAGAACAATATAGTTCCATTGGGTATTATAAGCCACAAGGAGTGGATGCATCTACGCCAGCCATTGAGAACGATTTTGAGCCACATCACTCATTATCTCCAGCCATTGGTTTTTACCGTCCTGAAGATCCCAACCAGCCAAGAAGTCTACCGTTGTGGATTTGATTGACTGGTGCCATGTTTTGGTTTGACCGTCACTAGCTAGCTCTTTTCCAGCCTCACTGTATGTCAGCTAACATTGCCCGTCGAGGAAAGCGATGACTAGGCATCCGTAACACGTGTCCTAACCATCTCAGTCGATGTAGCTTCACAGTCTCGTCTATCGATTTCTCCTTCTTACCCAGAACTCGATGCCTAACCTCAATATTGCTCACCTTATTATACCACTTCACACGGGAAATAGAGCGCAGATACCTATGATCAAAGACAGCTAATCTTTTCATGTCTTCCATTCTCAATGGCTGGGTCTTACAGTTGGCCATAAAGGAGGACGGAGCGGACTCATGAACAGTACACACGCCCTTTTCTCGACAGCCAGCTGGATATCACGTCTACGCCACAGACGGCGTAAACTGGCAGGCATATGCGAAACTAGCCCTCTGTATTCGTGCTGAGATTTCGTCAGAGATCAACCTGTTGGCACTGGTTGATGGTACTTCCCAAGTAAGTGAAGCGGTCAACGTGCTCTACCAATTCACTCCTCATTTCTAATCTAGGAGTCGGTGTAGTCCAGTCCTGTAACATCATCTTGCATTTGGCGGGAGCGAATCGCATGCCAAACATTCGCAGATCGCAGCACAAGGTGTTCAGAAGACTCTGCATTTTATCAGCGTCTTCACCTACAAGGACTATATCATCTGCACATTCTAAGTCAACGAGATTATTCCCTCGTAACAAGTCAATCCCTGTGTCTCTGAAGTGAGATAGGGTTAAGTCCATTAGTACATCTATGATGAAATTGAATACAAATGGGGATGGTGGTGAGCATCCCTGACGGACACCACTAGTTGTCCACAGTTCAAAATGACAACTCGCTGACTGCATGTGTTCGAGTAAAGTGCCTTGGCCAGTGCAATGTATTTACTCGGCATTCCCTTTACAGCCAAGCATCGCCATTGTACCATATTTTATTGCATAATTTCTCAAACTCCCCATTGAATTAACTTATTTCCCCTCCCCCCCATTTAGTTAGTTCAATTCTGGATGCTATTACGTTCAGTCTATGGCAGTCTTGGTGCTGATTCTCTTAAACGTACATCTCAACAGTATGCATCACAACTTCAATCACAACAAATGGGGAATATTTACAATCGATCAGATTTTGACTATCAACAGCATAACAAAACTGTTCAATCATCATTTACAAACGAGAACATGGCTACATCTGGTTTTGGTACAACAGACTCATCATTTGTGCGTAATCAAGATGGCAAAATGACTGTGAAGCAATTTCAACAGCCTGGTCTTGAAAAACGTAAACAGTGTGATACGAATTCAAATGATAATAATAATGATAATAAAAATTCAACAGGAGTTCGATTATCATCTATTTTAGAGTCATTAGGTTTTCGAGATCCCGATGGAAGACAAAATGAAAAGTTAACATCTAAAATTAAATTAGATTATAGTAAGAGTTTTGTTCATCTTTTCAAAGTTTGAATTGACTTGTTTGACTTTATTATATACTATTTGTTTCGAATCTGTATCACTTGGTTGTTGATATGAATTGGTAGGTGGGGTGGATCTGTGATCGTAGATTTAAATATTTTTATTCTCTGTATGAAGATCAGTGAGGTTAAGATTAGAGAGCTTGTTACATTACATGATTTTAACACTGTACTTCAATCTACTGAGCGATAGAGAGGAGTACCGTCAATCCTCAGATAATATGTGTGTGACTAATAGCATGGTACATAAAAAATCAATTCGGCATAACTGAGTTTTGGAGACAGTGGGCATCTCTGACGGACACCACTGGTTGTTACCACTTCAGATGACAACTCGCCGTAAGCTGTCACCTGGCCGGCTGGATGAGTTTGAGTAGAGTGCCCTGATCAGTGCAATTCATTTTCTCGGCATTCTCTTCACAGACAAACATCACCTCTCGGTCGACGGTCATCGCCTCCAGGTCAAGGAATGTAACAATTGTTGGACTCCGGTAAGAATGTCTATGTTCCAGAATCTGTCGAAGGGTGGAGATATGGTCAATACACCCACACTCTTCCTGGTCTAAAGCCTGCCTGGCTCTCTGGTGTTTGTGTCTCCCGAGCACCACTTAGTCTACGCATGATTATTGAGCCTAGGACTTTAGATACTATATTAGTCAAGCTAATCCCTCTGTGATTATCGCAGGAAGACTTGTCTCCCTTCTTGTATATGGGGATAATCAGTGACTTACACCAACCCGATGGGACTTCCTCTGATCCCCAGACGCTGCCTAATACCTTAGTGAACGCAGGTAGTAAACTGTCTCCATCGTACTTAAATACCTCTAGAGTCATTCCATCAGGTCCTGCTGCTTCTCCTCGTTTCAGACAAGTGACAACCTTAGTAACCTCAGTTAGGGACGGTGGACTTGTGAATATATCCCATTCAGCGAGGTTTTGATTTCTTGGTAAGTTAAGCGTGGTTGTAGGCCAATTGAACTGCTCCTAAAAGTGTTCTTTCCAGCTTTCAAGTCGTCTATCCTGTGAGCTAATTATGGCGTCATTTTTCTCGGAGATTGCTTCCCTGTGTTAGGTTAGGATGCGTTGATAGATATCTGAATATTATGCAATTCCCTTTCTAAAAGTCAAGTCGAATAATGAATCATCCTTTGAATGAACTTGACAAATAATTTTTACTTGAACAAGACATATAAGCGAACAATATTGTTTTCAATTAGATCTTCTTCAGTCTTTACTCTAATTTACATAGACTTATATATAAAAAAATTTAACCAATGATGGTGATTTTGTGGATCAAATAATAATCATAATCATAATAATAGTAATGTGGTAAATCTTTTGAACGAAATTAATAACGATGATTATAATGATAACAAAATAGTGATAATAAGTATCAATAAAAATGTTTGAGCATTGTGGATTAGATCAGATAAAGTATAATTATATTTCAATAGTTTACACACAATGATAAGTCTTGATTGAATTTGAGATTTTCCCGTCGATTGATTGGACCGAAGTGCTCGGTGTCAGGTTGAAATGTCGCACTTCGGTCCAATCAATCGACGGGAAAATCTCAAATTCAATCAAGACTTATCATTGTGTGTAAACTATTGAAATAAAATTTGTACCTTATTTGATTGATAATAAGGTTTATGCAGGTGGCGATAAGAATTACAAAGATAGTATATGCATATATGTGTATATGTAGACAATTCAATAAATAAATAAATTAGGTCAAATCTTAAAAGGTGAAATGGAACGATAATCAGAGTTTAAATAAATATATCATAAAAGTACGAAGGAGATGGAAGATAAGAAAGAGTGGAAGGATTTTGAATAGAATTCACCTAGGCCAAGGAAGAGATAAAGGTAGAACAAACTTCTTTTGTTGTATGCAAAGACACTAAGTTTGTTCTCTCGAATTCCCATGGCTTTGGCTAAGTGTAAAAAACGGGTTCTGATTCTGTTCGAAAGACTCGATGGAATGCGATAGATAACTTTGAAGGCACTATTTTTGTGCACTTGGTGACCACTGTCAATCAAATGAGCCAAAATAGAAATTCGTATGGATTTTATTTGACCTTTTCCAAACCATGAAGGAAGATGCTCAGTGATGATGATTTTGTTAAGCTGTCTAGTTGTTCGGCGTATATAGCTTTCTCCACAGGAGCAACTAAATTTATAGATACACATGGAAGTGGCACAGCTAGGTAGCTTATCTTTCATTTGAGCAATCAAAATTGGTCTATGTAAATTAGAGTAAAGCCTGAAGAAGATCTAATTGAAAACAATATTGTTCGCTTATATGTCTTGTTCTAATATTGTAAATAGGAATATTTAAAGAATTTTTACTTGCTTTCGAGATGATCACCCTGATTTATTCCATCCCTATTTGTCTGTTATATTGTGTGGCATATCTGTTTGTACACGTAATATATTAAATTTGTGTTCTTAATGATAATAATAACAATTAATAACGAGGATCAATCATTGGTGTTTAAGTTATACTCTCCGCATACCGTTAACTTATTATACGTGTTTGGTTACAGGATTTCACCATGAGCTGATATAGGTTAGAGAACCATTGGAAAACCTGGGAGTACTAGACAGCTGTTTCATCCTAGTTTGGGACTCTTCATCAGTACGCACCCACCGCCACTGTTCGAACTCAGGACCTTCTGGTTACAAGGCGAGCCAGCTCGTAGACCATTAAGCCACTGGGACCCGATCCAACGGCCAGCCCATGAATTCTAACTTCTGCCAATTCACGACATAGCGCGACCGCTAGCCAATGTCTTCGGCGAGTATTTGTCCTCACACCCGACCTGCTGCTCCCTACTGGTCACGACTTCCCACTGGAACTCCAGGTAACTACCTACCTGAATAGGGCCAGTCGCTAGTGAGCATCTCATTGGTATTCAAGTGTTGGTTTGTAGGGATTTGGTTGTTTGGTTACAGGATTTCATCATGAGCTGATATTGGTTAGAGAACCATACTCCGTTGTTACATTGTCCACCTGATTGATTTTTTTCTTTTTCAGGAAGACATTCATCTGGAAATGTTAAAACACGTCATATGCTGTCTAAACAACTGATTGACATGCCACCAGTTACACAAAGACTTCTATCGTATTCTGGAACATCAGGTGGAGTCAGTGGTGGTGGTGGTGGTGGTGGTAATATTCCACCAGCTGTATTCTCTGCCCTGTCATCTTCAACTAATCCATGCAATGAAATCTGTCTACCGAATTCAAATAATGAACTACTTCTACGTACAAGTAAACCTATTCCTGTGAATATTAACTATAAGTGTTTGCATAAATCACTAACAGCCTATGATAATGATGATCAGCATACTTCATCGATTCCGTCATCAGGATCACCGCCATTGATACAACCAGCACAGTCTATTTTAAGAAATCTTGATCAGGATATATCACCACCGAATGGTTTATTATTTAGTAATTATCGTGAAGATATTGACTATTTATTTCATACTACAAATCATCATCACCAACAACAACAACAACAGCACCACCACCACCACCAGTCAGCAGCTGAAAATGATTCATTTAAAGGGTAATTTTGTAATACTTTCTCTTTAGAACAACACATTTAAGCGAACAGTATTGTGATTTCAATTAGATGTCATCAGGCTTAACTCTAATATATATAAGTTTACAAATAAAATTTCAAATATAAACCAATCATGGTGTTTTGTCTATAGGATAATAAGATGGTGAATATAAATTGCTCAATTAGTCATAATAGTAGTAATGATAATAATAATAATAGTTATAATAATAATGGTCTTATCAATAATAAGGATGAAAAAGTGAGGCAATCTATGATAACACGAATAATGAAAAACAGTATGATTGAACAAACAATTGTTCAGGTGGAAGTAATGGTGACTTATCTAGTGAGACTTTGTTCCAGAGACTATCCAGGAGTATACGGAGAACATTTTACGCAGCACACCTATGTTTGTCATTCTCTAGCCGACGAATGATTGGGACGCAAACGAAGGATAAGCTAGATAGTTTTGCCACATGTGTGTGTATTTATCAATTCAACTGCACCTGCGGTGACAGTTATGTTGGGTGTACTATTAGACAGCTTAGCCAACGTGTTAGTGAACATCTCCCATCGTGGTTTGGCAAAGAATAGACGAAAACAATCCGTAGCTCCATTTTATCACATTTAATTGATAGTGGTCATGTAGTCGAGAAAACGAGAGCCTTCAAAGTAATTCATCGTATCCCACCGAATCTTTCAAACAGACTTCGTATTCGTCTACTGTACACAGCTGAGGCGATAGATATTCGGACTAATAAACCTAAACTATGCATTTAAAAGAAGTTCGTACAGCCATTACCCCTTCCGCGTTGGTCTATTAAGACATAACCAACTAATGACTTCTACACCACCCCTTATTTATATTTTCAACCCCTTTCTTATCATCCCTTAATCTTATCACATCTTCATTAAAAACGTGTTTCATTTCCTTCCCTTACATTCTAACATTACTTAATCGGTTCATGTGTTTTATTAGCCTTTATCGACTACTTTCACGTGAACATTTGTTTGTTTAATCATACTGTTTTTTCATTATTCGTGTTAACATAGATTGCCTCACTTTTTCATCCTTATTATTGATAAGACCATTATTATTACTATCATTATTATTATCATTACTACTATTATGACTAATTGAACAATTTATATTCACCATCTTATTATCCTATAGACAAAACACCATTTTTTTTATTACAGCTTGATTCCACACTGTTTTTGGTACAAGTATGGAATTTTCAGCATGGATATCGGTAGCCCAAATTTCGCAGGCCGACCATAGATATCGAGGTGTGCGTTGGCGTGGGCTCGAACCATGATTGGTTTATATTTTAATTTTAATTTGTAAACTTATATATTAGAGTTAAGCCTGATGACATCTAATTGAAACCACAATACTGTTCGCTTAAATGTGTTGTTCTAAATTTTACTATGGGAATATTTAATATACTTTCTTTTGCTTACATTGGGTTCCATGTCATCAGGAATGTAGCGGTAGTTTTTCTTATTATAAAAGTTTGGTTCCCTTATGTTCCGAGTGGAACACACGGCTTCAAGCTAGAGTTTTGAATTTTGGATAGCAGTGGTTTCATTTTTACGGAGAGGGATTGATAGTCTCACGTCCAAACTTCCCTCCTTATCGGCCTTACTATCGGCTTGGCGAGATCTAGGGGTGCGTTGGCCGGGGATCGAACCCTGAACCATATGCGTGGTTGGTGAATGTTCTACCACTGAGCCACCGATGTAGGTAGCGGTAAATCATTTCTTAAAATCATTAGTCTACAGCATTATTCACTCAACGTTGGATACTGACGTTTACTGTTTTATTCGGTTTGTTAATGTGAAGGTCCGCAGTCACGCACCTATAGCATTTGGCACTCTGTTGTACTACATTCGATCGTTCACATCCGACCGACCCCTGGCTAGCTAACCAACCATTATCACATGACAATTCTGATCTTGAAATACATCTTGTATTTCGGAATAACATTCTGGTGTTTTAATTTGTCTTTGGTTGAGGCAGAACAAATGCTATAGGATATAGATGATAAGGGCTTGCATTCATATACAGTGTATCTTACGTGTAATCGTCAACATCCTTCATTTCTGAAAAGGGTCATCCTAACGAAACGCAAAAAATGGCTATTGTGGCTCAGTAGCCTACGGGATAACACCCTGGTGTTTGAAATGAAAGGTTCTAGTTTCGAGTTCTACTCAGTGAGATGTAGGTTCACCCAGCTGTTAAGCACCGAGTGGAATGAAGTGCGATCCCTTTATTTCATTTCTAGTCACTATCAAAGAAGTAGCTCCAATAACACGCCGTTGAAGAGTAGACAGAGTAAGCAGGTTTTAACTTAGTGTTCAACTGACAATTCCTTAAGCGCTACTGTATTATGACTTTACTTTCGATAATGAATAGATCTAGGTATATGCCTCAAATTATATAAGTTTTACAGATTACAGTAGGACTTTAAAAAGGAAGGTTATCACTTCCTGACAGTTAACGCCGTTTTCTCCTACATATTTGTTGAGCAATAAGCTCTTGGTTGGTTTAATCCACTGTAGAGCTCCTTGTCGCTAATTCTTTCTGGCCGGCTGACCACTTTTACTTCAGTATGGAACCAGCCATCAAAGGTTGTAGTTGTTGATAAAAGTCTCTGCAGTGTCTTGTTGGAAATCCTTTCTGTGACTCACTGGTCAGTTTTCCGACCCATATAGAAGTACTGACCCACTTCACATTTGTGTTGGAAATCCGAGTCTTTTTGTTTATACTGACTGTCTGAGCGCAGTGCAGATTTTCAAACTGGTTTTTCTGGTTGATGAAGGCATATCTTACTTTTCCCATCCTGGCCTGCTTTCATATCTTCATCTGTCTGTCTGTCTGTCTGTCTGTCTGTTTTCGACATAGAACTTTGCACATATGTGCGGAAGTTCAAGTCGCCACATTCCGTGTAGCACGCGATGCAAGAGAAGAAAGTACAAGAAAAGCATAATAGAAACAGTGAGCAGAGGTGTGAGACAAAGGAGTAATAAAGAAATACAAAACAGTTTCATTGAAGATCATAAGTCACAGGGAGTGGATGCATCTGCGCCACTGAGAACGGTTTTGAGCCATGTCACCAATTGTTTCCAACCATAGATTTTTATCGTCCCGAGGACCCCAGCCTGGAAGTCTACACCTTTCTACGTGGCTTAGACCAACTGTTGTGGATTTCATTGACTGGTGCCAAGTTTTTGTTTGACCGCCGCTAGCTCTTTTCCAGCCTGACCCTACATCCGCTAACATCGCTCGTCGAGGGAGGCGATGGCTTGGTATATGTAACACCTGTCCTAACCATCTCAGTCTTTGTAGCTTCACGACTTCGTCGATTGATTTCCCCTGTTTACCTAGAACTCTACGCCTAACCCGACCGAAAGCTGCTACTCCCGACCGAAAGCTGCTACCTTGACGTGGTGGTCGGGCTTGAACACCGCAATGACCTAATCAAGCTATACTGGCTGAGACTTATGTCTCTTGAGGTTCTACCATGCCAGGCAGGTTGTTTGGATAGCGGTTAAACAAAAAGCAGCTACCTCATCCAATACCATGATCCAAACAAATTCACAAAATTTCATGCCGGATCGGCCGTGGCCCGGATTAACAACGACCGCGCTTCCTGCTGCCGTGTCACAGGGCGGGAGTGATAAGTATGCTACTGAGGCACACAAAACAACAAAGAACGAACAAAAACAGGCCGCGTGTGACCGGCCACAAGCAGTTGTCCCCTGGGCTCTGCGGTCACGCAACCAACTTCCACGGTGTGGGCAGCCGGGAAGTAACAATCGCCCTCACAATCCAAAACGCACACAAAACCTCTCTAATCCTCACTTATCTTTGTCTTCATCTTCATCTCTATTACCTTACCTTCCCCCAGTGATGCAACTCCTCTACTTGATGGCTCCTCACTCCCTCTTCACTCTGTGTCCACTAAAAACGACGAAAGCCAAAAAACCACCACGGATAGTCTCCTAAAGCCACGCCACCAATTTCATATAGGAGCATTTAATGTAAGGACACTTTGCCAAATAGGACAACAAGCATCACTAGCTAAGACCCTGGCATCTCGAGCCATTGATGTATGTTGTGTTTCAGAAACACGCATACAAGACCCAAGTGTGGTTATTCACCTAACCCCACCTGGCCAACAGGATGAATCTTCAAAATTCACCTTGAGGGTGTCAGGAGATGCCACAGCTAGTTCACGAGGATTAGCTGGCGTAGGGATAGCTCTGAGTACTAGGGCAGAAAAGACATTGCTTGACTGGATCCCAGTAGATAGCCGAATGTGTGCTGTCCGTCTGAACGGATCAGTAAGAAGGAGAAAGGACTGCACTACTCGCCGATGCCTTTTCGTAATCTCCGCCTACGCCCCCACTGACTGCAGTTCGGATGAAACGAAGGATGAGTTCTACCAAAAGCTGTCTAGTTTGGTGAGAAAGGCTAAACGCTCAGATATAGTCGTTCTAGCTGGTGACTTCAACGCTCAAGTAGGGAAATTGTGTCAATCTGAGAAGGATGTCGGTGGCACCTATGGAGTTCCGTGCCAGCGAACCGACAACGGTGACCGTCTCCTACAGTTCTGTTCAGATAATCATTTGTTTCTTGTAAGCACTAACTTTAAACACAAGGAGAGACACTGTTTAACCTGGCGACCCCCATCATCAAACCAACGCTGGACACAAATAGACCACATAGCAATAAGCTATCGTTGGCGTGGGTCGGTAGGAGATTGTCGCTCCTTCTGGAACACGTGTGTAGATACCGATCACGCACTGGTCCGGGCTCGTGTGTGCTTACGACTGAACGGACGTAGGAAACAGCTGGCGGTAAAACCATCACGCCCCCAGCTCGATCAGGAAACTAAATCCCTATTTGAGGAAGAACTAGCTAAACGCATATCTGAATTCGACAGCTGTGCTCACCCTGGAGAAGCCTGGAAGAATATTCAGTCAGCTATAGATACAGCTGTAAAAGCTGTGAATAAGACAAATCCAAAGGTGAGTAAAAACCACTGGATTTCGACTGCCTCATCCGAACTGATAGATGCTAGAAGACTTATTCCGGCGAGCTCCGAATTCAATGAGGAGCGAAAGCTGCACAAAAGGAAACTTACTAAAAGTCTCCGCAAGGACCGTGAACAGTGGTGGGTGACAAAGGCGAAAGAGATGGAAAAAGCATTGGCGATAGGCAACACTAGGCAACTCTTTAGACTCATCACAGAATCGGGCGGGAAAAGGCAATTCATAAGTGAGACTATTTCTGAGAAAAATGGCTCCTTAATTAGCTCTCAGGATAGACGCCTTGAACGCTGGAAAGAACACTTTGAGGAACAATTTAACTTGCCTACAGCCACACTGAACCTCCCCGCCATCCACCACGTACCCGAATGGGATATAGACACTGGTCCGCCGTCTGTAGGTGAGGTTACAAAAGCTATCAGTAATTTGAAACGAGGCAAAGCGGCAGGACCCGACGGAATTATTCCGGAGGTGTTTAAATATGGGGGTGACATACTAGTTTGTAGATTAACTGAGGTACTAGGCAAAGTCTGGGAATCAGAGACAGTACCATCAGACTGGGGTAAGTCACTCATTATACCGATATTCAAGAAGGGAAACAAGTCCTCGTGTGATAATCATAGGGGGATCAGCCTAACGAACATAGTCTCTAAAATCCTAGGCTCAGTAATCATGCATAGACTAAGCAGAACTCGGGAGGAACAGACAAGGGAAAATCAAGCAGGCTTTAGACCAGGTAGAGGGTGCATAGATCATATCTTCACTCTTCGACAGATTCTAGAACATAGACACACTTTTCGGCGTCCAACAATTGTCATATTTCTTGACTTGAAGGCGGCCTTCGACTCCGTGGACCGAAAAGTACTATGGCAATGTCTGACTGTGAAGGGAGTGCCAAGAAAGTACATTGCACTAATCAAGGCACTCTATTCAAACTCACGTAGTCGTGTAAGGGCTTATGGGGAATTGTCATCTGAATTGGTAACAACCAGTGGTGTCCGACAGGGATGTCCACTTTCCCCATTTCTGTTTAACTTCATCATAGATATGCTAATGGAAGTATCCTTAACTGAACGTAGTGACTTAGGAATCGACTTGTTACCAGGGAATAATCTAATGGACTTAGAATATGCAGATGACATAGTCCTGTTAGGGGAGGATGCTGACAAAATGCAGAGTCTTCTGAACACCTTGAGCAGCAATCTTCGTATGTTTGGCATGCGATTCGCCCCTGCAAAATGTAAGATGCTGCTACAGGACTGGACGACGTCAACCCCTAACTTAGTGATAGGGAGTGAAGTGATAGAACATGTTGACCACTTCACCTACTTGGGAAGTTGTATTAGCACCAACGGACTGATTGGCGATGAAATCTCAGCACGGATCCGAAAAGCTCGAGCTGCTTTCGCTGACTTACACCATCTCTGGCGTAGGCGTGACATCCGGTTATCAACCAAGGGACGTGTGTACTGCTCATCAGTTCGCTCCGTCCTTCTCTATGGCTCTGAAACATGGCCAATACGCGTTGAAGACATGAAAAGGTTGACTGCTTTCGATCATAGATGTCTGCGATCTCTGTCTCACGTTAGGTGGTTTCACAAGATAAGTAATGTTGACGTTAGGCGTAGAGTGTTGGGCAAAGAGGGAAAATCAATCGACGAGGTTATAAAGTTACATAGACTAAGATGGCTAGGTCACGTGCTGCGCATGCCTAACCACCGCCTCCCCCGACGGGCATTGTTAGCTGATATAGGTTCAGGTTGGAAAAGAGCCAGTGGTGGCCAAACAAAAACATGGCATCAATCCATGAAATCCTTGACAGTTAAACTGAGTCAGGTAGGGAGATGCAGACTCCCGGGTTGGGGCCCTCGGGACTCTAGGAATCAATGGCTGGAGACAATAGGTGACATGGCTCAAAATCGTTGTCAATGGCGCAGATGTATTCAATCTCTGTAATCTTTCATATTCCTTTCTACCATTACCCATTCTGTTTCACTCTTATACTTGTCAAACTCTATTGATTCTCTTCACTCATCTTCTTGTCTACCTCTGTGTGCTATTTGGAACGTGGCAACTCGAACTGCTGCACTTCGGTGCCAAGTTCTATGTTGAATCCAGACAGACAGACTACGCCTAACCTCAATGTTGCTCACCTTATTATGCCACTTTACACGGGAAATAGAACGCAGGCACCTATGATCAAAGACAGCTAGTCTTTTCATGTCTTCCACTCTCAGTGGCCAGGTCTCACAACCATAAAGGAGGACGGAGCGGACTGATGAGCAGTACACCCGCCCTTTGGTCGATAATCGAACATCTCATCTACGCCAGAGTCGGCGTAAACTAACAAATACGAAACGAGCCCCTTGTATTCGTGCTATCTTCATCGGTTCCGCCTGTAGTTGAAACGATGCTTCCTAACCGTTTAATTGAAGGAGGTAACCTCTGTGAAATCTCTCTCTTCGATAGTGATTGGTGCTGGTCTTTGTTGCTGTTAGTTGGTTAACTTCATCACCTCCGTCTTCCCTATGTTCACCTAGACTCCTGTGTCCTCTGCCTACCTCTTCTGCCAGTTTGTTGCTTTTCTCCTGTGAGACATAGATTTTTTCCGACATTAGACATATATCATCTGCGAAATCCAGGTCTTCTAGAGTATTCTCATTGATGGTGGCCAGCGTATTCTCGCCTTCTACACTACCAGTGCACAGTCTGACGCATAAACAAATTAATATGGAATCACGTATACTACCACAGTGCCCAAGTTCAACACATAGGAATACTGTTAAAGTTCCGAAATGTCACATAGTTGATTGTTTTAAAGGTATTTTTTTTTATTTAAAAACAACTATAATATCTATTACGTCAGTTGCTATTCTATGCTCGAAAGTGCCTTACGACGACTTTTAATCCTCATCCGTGCATATTTGTATTATAATCAAAACATTGTGTGTGAGACAAGTTAAGTCTTCATGGAAAACTCATGTTTTTTTTTTTTTTTTCCCTTATTCCTTTTATTCTACTCCCTTGCAGAAGACCAAAGCAGTTGGATCTTATTGAAGGTAATGCCTATTGCTAAAAAGTTACTTGTGTAATACTTTTTGCTTAGATTTTCTGTAAAATAATTGTTAAACATTATTTGTGTTGGTGTGTCTAGTTGTTTTTGATTAAACTTAATTAGTCTTGTAGAGGGCTGTTTTCTACATGAGAGTTATTCATCATTAAAACCAAGGTTGTTTAACTTATTACTATTTGGACATGTATGAAATAATAATGATGTTTCATATTGTTTACCTGATTGTAGATACTACTGATTAAATAATTGATATTAATTGATTTAAAAAGACAAAATAAAAATTATGTATTTGATGTTAAAATAGATCAGATTCACTGTAGATTTAATGACTGAACAAATTTCTTCTGTGTACAGAGTTCACGATTTGACATTGGAATTGCCATTACTTTTAGAGTTTGAAGAAGTTGAATTCGTACTCTTTTAGCAAGATTCTCACGTATTCTGTAGGTGATTTTGAAGTTACTTTGTGGGTTTGCTTTGTGTCCTGATTTGATCAATGCCCCAGAATAAAGCTTCGGGGGGACCTTCTCCTTTATAAAAGCATGAGAGTAAGCTTTCGGTGATACGTTTGGATAGCAACCGCTGGGTACGACCGACATACCTAGCTGCTTACGAACAGGTGATTTGGTAGATGTACATTGATGAAGCTAACAGTAGTAGCTTATCCTTTACATTCATGCAAATCATTAGTTTAGTAGAAAAGGTTAGTCGGAGTTCAGTCGTGAAGGTTTTTTTCAGTGAGCGGGATAGGCGGTTTCTCAGTATTTCTGTTGATGCATCTCCGCTGAATTGTAAATTCAGATGGAGAAGTTTTTTGCAAGAAGAAAGTGTGGGCGGTTTTGGTGGTTTAGTTGTCAAAGGTTTTGTGATGAAATGTTCCGGACAGCCATTTTCCAGGAGGATTCTCTTCAATGTTTAGCTCCTCTCCCATAGTATCAGGGCTACAAATGCTAAGGATTCTGTCGCTCAGTGAACAGATCAGGTTTCGCTTTGTATATACGGGCACCCAACTATGGAAGTTAGTGAGTTGTCCGTTCCATGTTGGTTTTCTATAGATGGATCTTTTCAGTTTTCCAACTTGTTAACTGAACGTCCAGAAAAGATAATTTGTGTCTAACTCCTTCTATCATGTGAACTGAATTGCTAGATGGCAGCTGTTGAGGAATTCACAAATGTTCTCCAAATCCTTCTTATTGTTGGGCACGATGAAAGTGTGGTCCACGTACCTCTTGTAAATCGAAATTGTCAATCATTTTCTTTAGATGTGTGTTTTCTAGGTTTGACGTGAAAATGTTTGCAAGCGACTAGCCAGTTTAGTGAGCCCATAGCTATACCATCTTTTTGTCGACATATTTTGTCATTGAAAGCGAATTGTACCTTTATAGCACATCTCAATAGGAGTTCCTTCAAATATTAACTAGGTATATTAATGTTCATGCCCGTTGAATCAATATTCTCACATATGTTTCGGTTAGTGGGACGTTCGTTCTAGTTTCTACCCGATTGACGCTGTCTACATTGCGTAATTTGTCATTAGAAATTTACAGTTCTAATGATAAATCTTGTTGCTAAGATTATTTACTATATATATATATATATATATATATATATTATATATATATATATATATATATATATATATATATATATATATATATGTAGAGCCTGACGCGCGATGTCACCCAGCGGTCTCCTCATCGAGTGTCCAATCCATCTCCACTTTCTCCTGCATATTTGTTGGTTGGCGATTGCTTCTTGTTTTGTTTGTTCCCATAGTTTCTTGTTGTTGGTGATTCTTTCCGGCCCGGCCATCTGATCTTCAGTATAGAACGAAGGCAGTTGTTGATGAAGGTCTGCAATAGCCTGTTGGTAATATTTTTTGTGACCCTCCAAGTTTCTGATCCGTATAGAAGAACTGACTTGACGTTTGTACTGAAAACCCGACCGATTTTGTTGTTGATGTTGGCTGAGTGACGAAGATTTCTAGATTGGTTTCAGGTTGATGAATGTGTTTCTCACTTGCCTTCCTGATTCTCCATTTGACATCCTCGTCCGTTCCCCCTGTAGTTGAAACTGCTCCCTAGATAAGTGAATGAAGTGACCTCTTTCAAATCCCTCCCGAATAGGTTATTGTCTCTCCAGTTGGTAGTTGGCACCTTCCACATCCGTTCCATCTGCTCTCGAAGATTCCCAACACTTCTATTCTATATCTCCTCATTTCTGCGGCTACCTGGGCAGCCTTTCTAGCTTCGTACATTGTACGGTCATTCCACATCCCCATGCTTTTTTTGCTTTCATCGAAAGAAGGCACATCGGCTGACTGGCTTCCCGAAGCTTTCAGCAGCCTGCATCTTTTCACTTCCCCGATTTCAGCGAAGAATAGGGTTATTGTTTATATTTTTGGAATTTTTAATATATTTGTGCGTTGAAGTTTCTGTAGCAATTTGGTTAAGTTTTGGAGGTGGATTTGCTAGCACCACGCCCCAAACCTCCCTCTTTATCCGGGCTTGGGACTGGCTAGAAAACTAGCGAGCTAGTCATCTAGGCGAGGTTACCAAAATGTATAGTAGTCTATTATTGAATAACACATTAAGGGTGACATAAGTGATATAATTACTGAGACGTGGGTTTAGAAGTAAAAAATAAAAGTTGTAAATTATGTGGCACTCAACGGCGCAAAGGAAGAAAGCGTTAGAAATTTGATAAAATTAAAATTGTTATTGAGTGAGAAGAAAGCTGGTTGAGTTTCTATCTTACAAGTATGAAGAGGGTTAGAAAATGTACAAAAGTTAAAATAAATAAAACATTTATAGGGAACGACTAGTGAAGAGGTTAATAACATAGTGGAATAAGAGACTGGACAAACTTTTCTGTATACAGAGTTCGGAGTAGTATTGACGAATTGCCAGTGCCTCCGCCGTACACAAAAGCTGAAACCTGACGCCTTTTGTACTATTTGGCCTCACCTTGTAGATAATCTTGAAAGACGACTCTGGTGGAGATACGTGGCTTGAGTTCATCAAGTGCTCGAGAAATGAGGTAGTGATTAGTCTTGCATTATCCTTTTGCTAATCATTCCGGATAATGTTCAGAGATGCGTTTGGAGAGTGTGCGCTTTGTGCAGCCAATATAACTAGCTCCACACGAGCAGGGGAATCTATAAACACACATTGAGGTGGCCCAAACTGGCGGCAGTTTGTCCTTCATACATCCATTGATCATTTGTCGGCTGTAGAAATCGATACGTAGCTCAGCCATGAAGGGGGCTTTCCTCAGTGATCTGCATAAGCGATTCTTCAGGATCTCAACAGCTGTATCACCTTTAAATAAATAGCAGTTTTTTTCTCCACCATCTGGATTCTTTCAGGCTTTTCTCTTAACTTGATGTTTTTCTCGATAAATCTTGGAGGATATCCATTCTCTATGAGGATTTGTCTGAGTCGCTCCAGTTCCCCGTCGATTGTATCACTGAAGATGATTTCGTCGATAAAGGAAATTTTCTTCGCTGAATTTGTCTTTTATTTTCTTCATGATTGATATGAGTAGTTGGATACCACTCATATCAATCAGTAGCGCTCACTGTCCAGGTCGAAGTGATGTATAAACAGAGGACAACAGCAGTTTCACTCGTTTAAGGTCGAGTTTATTAGCAGTGTGACCAGTTTGACTTTCATTCATTGTATCGAGGAAATCGTATTTTGTGGTCTGCATAATTTCGGTTTCCAGAAGCAATTTCGATGAAGTGGCACATTGTGAATTCGATTCCATACTTCGCAGGTTCGTATCCTGCTCGCACGTGACTTTGTGCGTCGGTGGCACAGTCGTTAGGACTCTCGCCGACCATGCACATGGTCCGAGGTTCGAGCCCGCACCGACGCACACCTGATATCTATGGTCGGTCTGCAAAATTTGGGCTACCGATATCCATGCTGAAAATTCCATACTTGTACCAAAAATACAGTGTGGAATCAAGCTGTAAATCAAAAAAAAGTTCATTGAAAATCTGTCTGGTTTCTCATTCTCACTTCAATGGTATATCAGATTTCTGTATTGAATTATTTTCTGACAACCTAGACAACAGAGTCGTCAAATTTACTAATGTATTCTCACAAATTAAAGCATCTCTAGGAGAATTTGACATCATTAGTTGCTAGACAAGTTATAGTTTTCATACTCTTAGCCTGGAGGAATTTAAGAATGGTTTAAAGTTGTAAAATTATAAAAGTTAGAAAGCTCAGCGTTTTAAGATGGTAGGTTTCATGTTGAAAAGGTTAGTAATTTTCTTCCAAATGATTGTCACTTTGATTTTGATTACGTCACGGACCGGTATCAGTTAGAGAAAACCAAGAAGGACTAGATAGTTGTTTCACCCTCATTTGGGACACTTCAGAAGAATGCACACATAACCTCATTACACTTAAATTCCTAGACATTCACAGTACATGGCAATTCATTGACTATTCAATCACTGGTATAAAATTCAACGTAATTTCATGTCTGTGGGTAACTTAAAGGTCCTCGGTTTCAATTTGTATACTAATCAAGAGTCCAGTACTAGGATGAAGCAATTGTCCAGTACTCACAGCTTTTCCTAGGGTTCTCTAACTGATGTCAACTCGTGATCAAACTTGTTGTTATTAGACGGTTGGAGGCAATCGGCAGGACCTAGGTTTTGTGAGTGTTGTCTACAAGGCTTATCTGCAATCTTGGAGGAACTCACATCTCTTAAGAGATTCGAATCCGTTTCATCCAGTGCCGCAGTTAGCGACATTACCAGTGTGCTATTTACGCCCAGGATTGTCTTTAACCATCTAATATCAACAATTCACAGTGCAGTGTGATGACAAGTCACCTAGAATGGTGTCCACATTGCAAACGTGGCTGACAGAATTCAGTCTACATCAAACAAAGGACCAGATACATTATACCAGTTACTAGCTGGTGTCCAATGAATGTACTCACCACTCTATTTTTAGTGAGTTATTTTCGGTGCTGATTTTCCCGTTATGTTTCACCACCTGCAACCTATTATGCACGTGGCCCCTCTAATCGCTTTTAAATTGATTGTCAGCTCACATAATTGCGTATTATTCATTTCGTCAATCTGTGCACGGCTTGAGAATCTTTGTTTACAAGTCGACGGACAACACAAGTCTGTGGATATTTTTTTTTGTTATTTTTTAAGTCCATCTATGATTCCTGTTTGCATAACTTAACTTTCATGACAATATTGATTTTATGTTGCTTTTCTCACTGTGCAATATTACGTAATCAGTGATTGGTTCACGTGATGATCCTGTGATCATGAACACAGAATATTTACCTGATGAAGCTTTTCCTACAATTGCACATCCCTTACAAGACCATCATCAATCACCAAATCAAAAAGAAGAATCCTGCCATATTCATAATCAACAGAAGCATCAAAAAGTGAAACAACGCAAAACAGTTGGACGTAGTTCCGCTGGCGATATTCGTCATACTACTACTAGTACTACTACGACTGCTAATACTACGCCAAATAAAGGCAGTGTCAATAATAACTTTAATATTGTCTCCTGTTCTACAGAAACATCAGTGTCGAAAAGAAATGAAGCAGCTTCAAAACCACAAAGAAAATCAATGGATTGTACTAAAATTCTTACATCGAAATGTCGTGAACTGTCGTTAGTCGATTGGGAGAATAGACAGATTCTACCAGCATCAAGTTTCCCTGGATTACCCTTCACTATTTCACCAATGAAAGAAGCTAAAACGTATGTAATATTATTTGTTAGAGGGGTCCCCCAGTAAATATATGTTTTTCGAACCAGTGTATACACTCTAACTTATTGAACAGCTTGTATAATTCAGCTGTACAGGGGTTCGTTTGGGCTCCAAATAGTCTCAGTAAATTGTACTGATTCACTGGAAGTATGAACCATTCCATCTCATGATTACTTACCTAGTTGTTGCGTCAAGTAGTTTGAGGAGTCCATTTTTGTGCTTTTAGTTGGGAGTATAGCAGATTATGGGTATCGAAAAGTGCGCAACACAAAGTCGTACAGTTTGTGCGAGGGTTGACATACTTCCTGGATGCCCAGATCAAAGCAGGTCATTGTCTTAAGGAAGTTACACTCCCAGTCTTTGACTTGAAGTCTAATCCACAAGTCAGTGGATTAGCATCAGGAGCTAGGTTTCCATGGGGTTTCCCGTTAAGCATTTTGGAGCTCATGTACACCATAGTTGTGGAATTGTTTTTCAGTTTCCCTAGGTAGGCACACATGTCTACCAGTCTGGTTTTAGGCGCTAGTCCTTCGCTTTTTCACTTCTGCGAGTGACACCTTCGTGGCGTGAAGGTAGTGAGTAAAATTTGTCCGTTTGAGGCTATGAACGCCGGGTCTTTTATGAGTATCTCGAGAAGAAAACTAAAAAGTGTACCTATCCGTGGTCGTACCACGTTGTTTGTAAGAGCCCTTTCATTTTCCGACTATGCTGCATGTCTTAACCATAATAAATTATTCCTGTTTTTAAATAATAGAGATTTGTAGCTTAGGTGGATGATTTGCAATTAATGATGTTCTCTGAGCTGGTTGGTTTAGTTGCGGAGCTTTCGTCGTCCACCTTCTGGACGACATCTTCAGCGCAAATATATCACTCATGCAGAAATTTAAATCATTTCACTTTATGCTAAATATTGCGCTGAAGATGTTGTCCAGAAGGATGACGAAAGCTCCGCAACTAAACCAACCAGCTCAGAGAACACTATTAGTTGCAAAATATTCCTGTTCTCAGTGTCCCCAAAGAATTTCTTAGATCTACTGGCAACAGGTTCAATTTTGTGCTATTTTCTCTTTCTTTTACAGTATTCCTCAGGATCCACCAATCATTAATCCCGATCCTACTAGTGATCAAAGGAAAAAAGTGAAGAAGGATTTCAAGCTAACAAAAAGCATTCCAGTGAAACGCTAGTTAAAAATGATAATGATGGTGAGGATCATGATGATGATGGTGACGCTGACGATGATGATGATGATGATAATACGCCGATGAATCATGTGTCCAACTCATCTGCATCAGAATCACCTTCTTCGTCTTTAACTAAACAAAAATCACCATTGGATAATTCTAAAAAACAAGTACAACTATTAGCACCATGGCAGCATCATAGTATGTCATTGTCTGGTTTAGATAAAGAATCATTTGCACTGTTAAATGGGGGGCATACAATCAATCCAATTGGATCTTTATATCCTATAAACAGTGAAATTAATACAATAATTGGTAAATGGTTCAAGGAATTGGTAAGTGAATGTAGGCGTTTGTGTGTGTGTAAACTTCGACAGTGTGGTAATATTTAATTCCATATTAGTTATTTCATTGAATATAACACATGGAGTTGCAAGTCCTATCACTTGGCCCAAAATTTTGCCATGTATCGAGTAAAACCAACGAATTACATACTAAAGTGCAGTTTGAGAATTTAATGTCACAGACATCCGATTTGTCACCGACTTCCGAAAAAGACCTAGATCAATTTAAAGCTTCAATTCTTGACAGCTGTTACAAGTACATTCGTACGCAACCGAGCCACCGTTACCTACTAACCAAAGAACACAGAAGACAACTTAAACAACTTCAAGAAAATAAGGACATAATCCTTGTCCGTCCTGATAAGGGCAGTGGGATTGTAGTGATGAATAGATCCGATTATAATGAGAAATTGACAAATATACTATCAGACAAAACCAAATTCTTTGAATCACCCAACCAAAAAGACACAACCGAAAGAACAGAAAACCTACTCACAAAATTGCTGAAGAGAATGAAAGAAGATTCAGTCATAACACAGGAGGTTTATGAGCAAATAAAACCATGTAGTTCAACTATTCCAAGACTGTATGGACTGCCGAAAGTGCATAAAGAAAATGTTCCACTTCGACCGGTCATAGACATGGTTAACTCACCGTATCACCAAATCGCGAAGTGGCTAGCTGATATCCTCGAACCAGTTAAAAGACATATGACAAAATATAGCCTCAAAGATACATTTGACTTCATCGACTCAGTGAAGGATGTCAACGTGTATGAAAGACAAATGATCTCACTAGATGTCGCCTCTCTATTCACAAGTATCCCTCTGACTGAGACAATATGCTTCATTTGTAATTACATAGAAACCAACAACATAGAAGTTCCTCTCCCCATAAACTACCTGAAGGAACTTCTTCTCAGATGCACGTTCAATATCCAGTTCAAATTCAATGAACAGTTCTATGTACAGAAAGATGGAGTAGCCATGGGGTCTCCTCTCGGTCCACTCCTAGCTGACTGTTTCATGGCGAGTCTTGAAAACAACATCCTTGATCCCTTGATAAGTCAACTGCACTTATACAAGAGATATGTAGATGATACGTTTATAATCTGTGATGAAAAATGTGATTTAGATTCTCTCCTGAAAACCTTCAACGCAGCGCATCCATCAATAAGATTCACCTTAGAACGCGAATCGAACAACGCATTTCCATTCCTCGATGTATTACTCACCAGAAGAGACGACTGTACGATCCAAAGATCGATATACCGTAAGCCAACATGGACTGGACAGTTTATCAACTTCCAGAGCTTTGTTCCACTGACCCGAAAGAGAAACTTGGTACGTACATTGTGCTCAAGGATTAGAAAAATCTGCTCGGAAGACACGGTGGAGAAAGAATTAAATTTATTGCGTGAAACCCTACTAGAGAATGGGTATCCGCCAAGATTCATCGACAAAAACATGAAGGAGAAGCCCCCGGTGCCAAATATCACAACGGTTCCTAAGAAGACTCTCTTCATGAACCTAGAATTCAAAGGTGACATCGCAGCGGAAATTCTCAGAAACCGCCTTTCAAAAAGTCTGAAGAAGACATTCCCAACAGCCACTCTACGTATAACATTCTCCTGCAGACAGTTAATCCAGTCTAACGTTAAGGACAAGATACCGCCTTTGGCCACTTCAATGTGTATTTATCAATTCACTTGCTCGTGTGGAGCAAAGTATATCGGCCGTACGCAACGTCAAGTCCACAAACGTATCCTGGAACACTGCCCAGCTTGGTTAGCCAGAGGAGAAAAGAAGAATAGCAACAGCTCAATCCTCGAACACCTTGTTATCTCCGGACATCGAGCACCCCCACACGAATGCTTCACAGTGGTACACAGAGTCCCTCAATATCGTACAAAAGGACTCCGGATACGACATCTGTACATAGCTGAGGCATTAGCTATTCGTGACATAAAACCGGACCTATGCATACAAAAACGATACATACATTCTCTAGCCCTACCATGGCCAGAGTAAATTTCTTACTATAATTTTTCTCCTCTCTTTTAATATGTAAGTTCACTATTATTTTATTATTATTATTATTACTGTTCTTAATACCTTTATTATTATTACTATTCCCACCATCCACATTTTATTACTACTCTATGACTGTTTATTAATAACATTGCTTTTTCACACAGATCTTATACAAAACTACTGTATAACCTTTCCACTAGTTCCTGTCCACTCTACACTAGCTTATTGATTAGTCATTATCTCACACTTATTAGGTCATGCCAACTTCTGTCTCCTTTCTAACTTACAATTAGTCATCCCTTCTTACACCTCACACTATGTAGTAGAATTTTCAAGGACAAAGTTTACCAGTATCTGATTGGTCAAAAACTTATGTGTTTAATTATAATTACGATTGTACAGCTCATGAAAATGAATCGTCGAAAAGAAAATTTTCTTCGCTGTTTGTGCCTTTTCTTATGACATGGAGTTGCGTCGGTGGTGTAGCGGTTAGGACGCTCGCCGACCATGCACATGGTCCGGGGTTCGATCCCCTACCGATGCACACCTGATATCTATGGTCGGCCTGCAAAATTTGGGCTACTGATATCACATGCTGAAAATTCCATACTTGTACTAAAAATACTGTGTGGTTTCAAGCTATAATTTAAGAAAATCAAAAATATACTCTTGCCTTGAGCTTCGTATATATACATTACTGCGTTGAAAAAAAACATTTTTACATATGAATTTTCCCCACTTTGATTTTCTTCCTTATATCCATAGATTGAATCTGGTCATGTTCAAACTGTGTGCACAGCATTATTGGCTTTAGGTCCAGAACGTTTACGTGTCAGTGAATGGGTTAGTGAAGCTCAATTAGAACATTGGTTTATTTCATATATAGGTAAGTTTATTTGATGATTGTTTTGCTTGCCCCATCAATAAATCAATAAATAATATTGTACATGGATATATGCATAACATAAAATGGAGTTTCGCTTGAATTTCTTACTTTTAAAGACATTCGATTCACTTATTTTTTTAAATTTTCAAATGTATCTGTCCCTGAAACTTACCAGGGTTGGGACTTGAAGACATCGTCAGGTTTTTTGAGATGACCAGTAATTTATGAATTCTTATACTTTCAAATGATCCAACTTGTGAGTGATTCCATTTATGGATAAATAATAACTTACTCCTCTCAGGTCTTGACGGCCTTGAATTTAATCCCTGCTGGGCATACATCTATGAACTGTAAAATATCTCAATTTCCCAATGATTATTAGTTTTCACCAGTTAGAGAACCACTGAAAAATAAAAGAATACTGGATAGCTGTTTCATCCTAGTTGGGAACTCTTCAGTAACATGCACCTACCAGTCATTGGTTTCTGTCTCATTGACTGAATGGTCAACAGGTTCGCATTGTAAGCTGAAAGTTCTGGATCCGATCCCCGGTGAGATAATGGGTACATAATGTTGAGGAGTTCAAGACTAGGACGAAACAGTGCTATCTAGGGTTGTTGCCTGGTTTTCAGTGGTCACTCACACTTGAAAAGCCTTGGTTGTTAAGTGAAATTTGTCCCTACAACAAGAATGGAAGATAAAGATTATGCACTATGATGTTTAAATGAATTTTTCATGATATAAGAGACACTAATACTTTGTCATTTTTTCCACTGTCAGAGTTCCGTATCCCTTTAATAAAGTAGCCGAAAGAATCACTTTTACCCGGTCATGGATTCGAAATTACTTTCATCTAACTATTAGTGCGTATGGCTTCTAGGTGTATTAGTGTATGATGAGTTCTACTTGAACTTAAACTGGCTTAACTTCAGAAATAAAAATCTGGGTTGGCTAGCTGAAATGTGTAGTTCAGCTGCTTCTAATTCTTAATCACCCGTCTAAAAATTTTATTGAATTTAGAACAGCTGGAGTTCTGACTGTCTTGGATGAATACGTTACGGTTGCTAACTTCACATCTAGCTAACAGCATGATTTTTGTCCTCAATATAAATTTTGTTACTGTTAAACTATTGTCTTGAAACTGTTTAACTTTGGTACATTTTATTTGGATACAAGGTATAAGGAGTAAAAGTTAACTGGTGAGATTGTCAACTGGAATTGGTTAAAATGGCTAAGACACGTGTTACACATACCACGCCACCGCTTCCCCTATCGAGTTGGGGAAGAGTTATAGGTGTAGTCAAACCGAAGACATGTGTATCCATGAAGTCGTTGACTATCTAGTTAGAGCCAGTCACGTATGGGGTACAAACTGCTTGGTTGGAGTCCTTGGGGACTGCTGGTGATGTTTCGAAATAGTTGTGAATTGGCCCAAACGCATTCACTCACTCTTCATAATCTCTGAGATCCAATAATTTTTCACGTTCTCCGTATAATTATTGATATAAGTATAAGACTTGGGCACTGTGGTACAGTGAATATTACTGCACAACATGCTGATTTACCGTATGATTATTCTTTCCTCTGTACATAATAGGGAAAAGTTAAACAATAGCGTCCCAAGGAATGCGAACGTACGCGTGATCTTGAACCAACCAACCATAAAAATAAGTGACTTTTGCACACAAAAAAATGACGTTTATTTACAAGAAAATGCATGAAAACATATTGAACAGGGTATTTTTCTCTGAAATAACTTAAAAATACGTCCCAGTTATAATGAGAAGTATCAGTTCTTTTTTAAGTTAGACCAGTTTCTGCACATGTATTCACCCAGGTGACTTAAGGTGAGCTTGTTTTGTGACCCGTTTATCGCTATTATTCTGTTTTGTAGTCTTCTCCAAAAGTCGTCGGTTGAATTACTATGGTTTACAGTAAGAGAATCGACGACTACTCACCAGGAAAATGTGGATGATAAAACACATTAAAATAAATAGTACCAAATCTAAATCTATCCTTAACCGTAACCCTAACCTTAATCCTTACCCTAATCCTAAACTTCACACTAACCCTAACTATAACCCTGATCCTAACCCCTAGACACCTATTAACACATTATCCAAACTGTACTTAAAAACGTAATCTGGGTGAAATTTTGTCCTTTCTTGGTGAAAAGCGTTCATATTTGTGCTGTAGTAATGACAGGTATGCTTAACCACAACCGACTAGCATGCGTTCAAGGTCATTGGAGAGAGTTCGCATCCCTTAAGATGCTACTGCTTAGATTCACCCATAATAGTTCTTTTGAGTATTTTTCTGCTTTATTTGTACTTTTGTGCACTAGGTGGAGTGAGGCGACTTGAACTGCTGCGATTTCTGTACAAATCTACCCGTTGAGATTGAATCATTCAGCATATTTGCACGTCATTAAATCGACTTTCACTGTGAATATATCTTGAATATACACACAAATACCAACTTGTAACATATATTACTGATGTATACTGCTTATCTACTTCAAGGCCTTTATTGAATCCCCTATCAACAACATGCAGTCCATGAGTATTGTCGACAAATTGTAACAATAGTGATCGATATATTTACTCCTCGCATAACCGTTTTGTGTTTGTTTTGTTACTTCTTGTGCAATCACTGCTTATTTAATTTTCAATTCAACTGAATTTCTTTCTTTTCCCATTGAATTTGAGATTTCCCCGTCGATTGATTGGACCGAAGTGCTCGGTCTCAGGTTGACATGTCGGCTTCTTGTGCAGATGCTTCGACGATGTCTGGGCATTTAGTTAGTATTTAATTGGTGGATGGTGACTAGCAGTGGAATCCAGGATGCGAATTTCGTCCTATTTGGGACTTGTCAGCTGGACGTACCTGCATTTCTCAGTGAGTGCTGATTAACCCATCGAGGCTCGAACCCAGTACCCATAGACTATTCGGGTCACGAAACTATGGGTACTGGGTTCGAGCCTCGATGGGAACATCATCACTCACTGAGAAATCCAGGTACATCCAGTTGACGAGTCCCAAATAGGACGAAATGCGTGTTGTCCTGGATTCCACTGCTAGTCACCATCCACCAATTAAATATCAACTGAATTTCAATCATCAGCACGAATAACGCAGTGGTAACTTCTCTGCCTGCAACACTGGGTGACGTGGGTTTGAGTTCCTTCTAAATTGCAGACATGGCTTGTCGACGATTACTAACAAGCACGAAACCTAAGTTCCAAACCTTCCTACCGATTGCCTTCAACCATCTAAAAACAACAATTCAGAATCCCACCATGATGGCAAGCCAACTACCATAGTAACCACATTGTAAACTTTACGTGTAGATTTTAGTCTGCACCAGACAAAGGGCTAGTTCCTTACTTACTGTCTGTCTGTCTGTCTGTTTTCGACATAGAACTTTGCACAAATGTGCGGAAGTTCAAGTCGCCACATTCCGTGTAGCACGCGAAGCAAGAGAAGAAAGTACAAGAAAAGCAAATAGAAACAGTGAGCAGAGGTGTGAGACAAAGGAGTAATAAAGAAATACAAAACAGTTTCATTGGAGATCATAAGTCACAGGGAGTGGATGCATCTGCGCCACTGAGAACGATTTTGAGCCATGTCACCAATTGTTTCCAACCATAGATTTTTGCCGTCCCGAGGACCCCAGCCTGGAAGTCTACACCTTCCTACGTGGCTAAGACCAACTGTTGTGGATTTCATTGACTGATGCCAAGTTTTTGTTTGACCGCCGCTAGCTTTTTTCCAGCCTGACCCTATATCCGCTAACATTGCTCGTCGAGGGAGGCGATGGCTTGGCATACGTAACACATGTCCTAACCATCTCAGTCGATGTAGCTTCACGACTTCGTCGATTGATTTCCCCTGTTTACCTAGGACTCTACGCCTAACCTCCATGTTGCTCACCTTATTATGCCACTTTACACGGGATATAGAACGCAGGCACCTATGATCAAAGACAGCTAGTCTTTTCATGTCTTCCACTCTGAGTGGCCAGGTCTCACAACCATAAAGGAGGACGGAGCGGACTGATGAGCAGTACACCCGCCCTTTGGTCGATAGTCGAACATCTCGTCTACGCCAGAGTCGGCGTAAACTAACAAATGCGAAACGAGCCCCTTGTATTCGTGCTGAGATTTCGTCAGAGATCAGCCCGTTGGGGCTGATGGTACTTCCCAAATAAGTGAAGCGGTCAACGTGCTCTACCACTTCACTTCCTATTTCTAAACTAGGAGCCAGCGTAGTCCAGTCCTGTAACATCATCTTGCATTTGGCGGGAGCGAATCGCATGCCAAACATTCGTAGATTGCTGTTCAAGGTGTTTAGAAGACTCTGCATTTCGTCAGCGTCTTCGCCTAGAAGGACTATATCGTCTGCATATTCCAAGTCAACGAGATTATTCCCAGGTAGCAAGTCAATCCCTGAATCGCTGAAGTCACCTAGGGTTAAGTCCATTAACACATCTATGATGAAGTTGAATAGAAAAGGAGATAATGGGCATCCTTGACGGACACCACTGGTCGTCACCAGTTCAGATGACAGCTCGCCGTAAGCCCTCACCTGGCTGTATGAGTACGAATAGAGTGCCTTAATCAGTGCAATATATTTTCTCGGAATTCCCTTGACAGCCAAGCATCTCCAGAGAACTTCCCGATCGACAGAGTCGAATGCTGCCTTTAGGTCAAGAAATATAATGACTGTTGGACGCCGGTAGGAATGCCTATGTTCTAGAATCTGTCGGAGGGTGAAGATATGATCAATACACCCTCTTCCTGGTCTAAAGCCTGCCTGGCTCTCTCGTGTTTGTGCTTCCCGAGCACCACTCAGTCTACGCATGATTATTGAGCCTAAGACTTTAGATACTATACTGTCTACTTACTGTCTAGTGACCAATCAAAGTAATTTTCTTATCCTTTTAGATGAATAATAATCATCAAAGATTTCATTTAGTACAGCCTTGTTTCAACTCAATTTTTCACGTATCAGGTTAAGTGCCATATCTACCTAGTTTCTTAGGCTGTGAAGTACATGAAGCGGTACTTGAACCTCGTGATGTGTTCACTTCAAACTGGGCTCTTAAGCCGCCAGTGAGTCATATCTCTTTATTCTGATTTTCTTCTTTGTGACTGCTATCCCTAGAATATTGTTTCTTAAACGCATACTTTCATTTTTCATGTATTATTAGAAATATTTAAATAAAGTAATTATAGATATAGTAGTATGTATAGGATTCAATGGAAAGAATGTATTTATTCTTTTATAATTTTCTCTTCTCAATAGAATTATTAACCCGTTTTCGACTATGGACGGTATGTGCACGTATAATGAAACAATGTGGTAATCCTTTTGCCGGTGCTGATAATCAACTGTATTTACGGGAGTACCGTCGAAGTATTAATTTACAATATGTTATTAGACCGATTGTCATGAAACCTACAGGTAATATCGTATTGGATGATTATATATTATTATTATTATTATTATTATATCCTTTAATTCCTAGAGAAACATAGGGCTTCAGCCATGCGTCTCCATTGCGTTCGCTTCCCTGCTAGATTTTTCGCCTGGCTCCTAGTCTGCTCACATGCTTTCATCTCCTCTTCACATGACCTCCTCCAAGTCACCCTTGCACTGAAGACTAACTCGCCGCTTCCCAACAGGGTTCCACTCGAGCAATGGCTTGTCTAGTGATGTCACTTGATGGTTTCCTCAGAGTATGGTTAATCCATCTCCATTTCTTCCTGAATATTTGCTTCACAATCGGTTCCTGATTGGTTCGCTCCCAGAGATCCCTGTTGCTGACCTTTTCTGGCCATCTGATCTCGAGCGAAGTATTGAGCGAAGACAACTGTTAATGAAGGTCTGAAGTTTGTTTGAGATGCTCTTTATGACGCACTGGCCAAGTCTCTGATCCGTATAGTAGCACTGACTTCACATTGGAGTTGAAAATCCGGATGTTATTTTTGATGCTGAGTGGTATTGACCTCCACACAGACTTAAAAGTAATGAAAGCTTGTCTTGCCTTTCCTTTATTCTTATCATATATATATATGATAAGAATAACGATAATTAAAATGTTATAAGGCGTAGAGTTGAAGTGGATAAATTACAAAGTTACTGAAGATTGTTTTATAAGTGAATTGATATCAAAAATGTCAAGTGTTGTCTAAAAATTTTGAAAAAAATTAGGAGTACGAATACGATAAGAATGAAGATGTGAAGTGAATTGGAAAGAATTCAAGTGGTAAAATAAAATAAAAACTAGAAAGAACATTATTATGACCAAGGTAAAGAAAGGGGTTTGACAAAACGCTTTTGAACACATAATTTAGGTTTCTGTTCATGTATAACTAAAGCTTCGGCTATGCGTAAGTGAAGAAAACGTAAGCTTTTGGTTCGATTTGATTTTGACATGTAGATAACTTTGAAAGATGAATCACGTGGGGCTAAATGACCAGACTCTAACAGGTGATCACAAATAGACGACTTTGCAGTTCTACTTTCGCCTTTCATTGACCAAACCGGATAGTGTTCAGCTACACTTTTTCGGAGATTACGCTTACAACGTCCAATATAATCAGCTCCACAAGATCAGGTAAAAGAGTAAATGCACATAGATGTGGACAAAAGCGGTAATCTATCCTTGACGCATTGTCCAATCATATTTCAGTTGGTAAAAACTAGTTGCAAGTCAGTTGCAGGAAAAGTGCGTTGCATACATTTAGATAAACGATTTTTAATCAATTCCGAAATGGTGTCACCTTTGAATGCCAGACTCATAAACAGTTTTTCCTTTGGCACTGTGATTTGTCTATGGGTAGATTCTTTCTTGATGTTACGTTCAATAAACCTTGTAGGATAACCATTGTTAAGGAGATTTGATCGAAGATTATCTAGTTCCCTATCGATTGTATCGATTTTATACAACCTACTTACAGCACTACATGCATGCAGTCGCAAACAACAGGATGAGGCGAAATGACAGTGCTATGGTTTCAATTGATATGGACCACCGATCATATCGATCTGACTGACAAGCACTCCTGGTTGGTGTGTCAGTAGTGTTCGTATCAGTTAGTAGCATGTACCAACCATGCATTTATGACAGTCGTCCAGAAATCTAATGTGTACAGTATATGGAGAGAGGTATCGATAACAGAAGTTTTTATTTTTGTCATCGAATCAGCTGATAAAAAAATATACAGAATATGAATTATGCAACACTTCTTCCATATATCTGGATGATTCCACTATCCCGTACGAGAAATACAAAAGGAAAGAAGCTTTAAACTTGTGGAGTTACATTTTGCTATGATTATGAAGAATAAATTGTTCTCTAAACATTATCCAGTAAATAAAAACACCGTTTCACTGTGAGGCGTATACAAAGTAAACAAACTAATATAGAATTACACACAACAACATCAATGTCCAAGTTTGTACACTCATATCAGCCTATTGCATACGTTCCTTTCACTCCATTTCAATCATCTGTGATCCTCTTTTCCTATAAGATACTCCAGACTGGATTCTTAAGAAAGATTCCCCGTTTCTAAAAGTCAAATAATGAACGATAAATTCCATTTCAGAAAACAATCTATTCATTTCAATATTGACCACGTAGTAGTTGCTTCCAATTAGAGAACCATTGAAAACCGGGGAGTACTAGACAGTTGTTTCGTCCTGGTTTCGAACCCCTCATAGTCTGCACCCATAATCTCTCCAGTGACCAATCCTTGAATCTTTAGGTTACTATGCGAGCTCGTAGACCATCCAGCCACTGAGGACAGGACTCAATGGTTTATCAATTTTAACTTTTGCGAATTCTCAATATGGAGTGTAACCTCCAGTTGATCTCAAAGGCAGGTATTTGTCCTCACATTCAACGCAGGTGTCTGCGTTCTATCTCCCGTGTGAAGTGGTATAATAAGGTGAGCAATATTGAGGTTAGGCCTCAGTGGAGTGCTAAGTAGCGACGAGAGATCAATAGGCGAGGTTGTGAAGTTACATTGAGTGAGACGGTTAGGATATGTGTTACACATGCATGACTAGGCATCGCCTCCCTCGACAGTCGGCAATGTTAGCTGACATAGGATCAGGATGAAAAAGAGCCAGTGGTGGTCAAACCAAAACCAACATGACTTCATCAGTCAATGAAATCCACAACAGTTAGTTTAAGTCACGTAAAATGGTGTAAACTTCCGGGTTGGTGCCCTCGCGATGGTAAAAACCAATGACTGGAGACAATCAGTGATATGGCTCAAAATCCTTCTCAATGGCTAGCTCAGATGCATCCGCTCCTTGTGACTTATGATGTCCAATGAAGCTATATCGTCCTTCGTTATTACTATTCCTTTGTCTCACACCTTTGTTTACTGTCTCTATTATGCATTTCTTCTCTTGCTTTTGTGCTAAGTGAATGTTGAAAGCAAACTATTTGCACATCTGCAAAGTGCAAAGTTCTATGCTGAAACTAGTCAGTCAATCAGTGATCCACAACGGAAAACTCAGAGAAGCCTTGAAGTGAAATAGGAGTAAGACAAGGCTACTAATTCTCACCGACGTTATTCCTAATTGTGGCGGACTGGATTATGCGTCAGACTGAGGGGGAGTGGGAAAACAGGAAGAGTTAGGACCGGCAAGACAACTCCTAGGTATAGATTTCACAGATGAATTGTGTCTAATATCACACAAACTCGAAAATATACAGGCGACAAAACAAATGTACAGAAGAAGCCGCAACGACAGGACTTCAAGTAAACACAGAGAAAACAAAGATGTGATGAAAATAACCAACGAATAACAACTACAGACACTAATAACTATGAAATGAATAAATTTGAAAGAGGTTACTTCCTCCACTTGTCTAGGAAGCATCGTTTCAACTACATACGGTATGACTTTACTTTACTTCGGCTATCTCCTACGGGAGGATGAGCCGGCTTCATGAACGAGTTCATGAAGTTTCTTGGGGATTTGGTACGAGTGATGTCCCCAGGATCGCTCGGCCTTTTGTTTGAGAGTGCAGCTCTAGCCTTTACACAGCCAAATGTGACCTACAAGGCAGTAGGAGTGGAGTAGGGAGTCCACTATCCATTGGCAACCGGTGACCGGGTTCGGTTCATACGCCTTTTTGAATGGGGCCAGACATCCAGGACATCCAACAAGCCCTTTGTCCATACGTCTGCCGGTGAGCTTCATACGCCAGTCGTTGAAGGTTTGGAATCAGGGTTTAGCCATCTCCCCTAGACTGTCATCCAATGGACAGTCAACCCGGTGGAGAGCGCCGGGCATCCGCTTTTGCCCTCTCGCTTTAGTGAGAAACACCTCCGCCGCGTGAAGGCAGTGAGTAGGACTTCCTCAGGAGAGGCTATGTAAGACGCACGGTCATATGGGAGCATTTCAAGAGGTGTGCGGAGGGGTGGCCAACCCGCAGCGCAAGACACCCACCCCCGACCATCCTGAGGCTTTGGAGGCACCGATATGGATGATGATGTCAAAGCAAGACAGACCTTCATCACCCTGGAATCAGTTTGGAAATATACTGCACTCAGTGACATCTCTCACCTGGTCCTAGAGTGGAGGCCGGATGGGAAACAACGTGTTGTAGGGCACCCAAGGATGAAGTGAGAGTCTATGGGGAATCGTTGAGTCAGCTAAAGAAAGACTGCTAAGAACACGACAAAGTGGATATATCTTGTTGAAGCCGTATGTTCCACTCTAAACTCAGGGGAACAATAATATAGTAATAAAGTATAGATGTTTTTTTTTTTTTAAGACTGGCGATACCAGCAGGTCGAGTAAAACTGTACTTTTTTCTAATAAATGTCTTATATGACCGTCATATGATCTTTGACAATAATTATTTGATTGTTCCCTCACTTTTTCCCCTTCAAACTCTAACATTTTCGTAAAATTGCCTTATAGAATCTGAATCTAAAAATGCTACAAATACTGGAGAAACTCGATCCGATGGAAATACACGTACACGATGGAAAAGTGGTGGCCTGACAAGTATTGATAATCAGTTTGCTTCACGCAACATGTCTCCCGCCTTAGCACCAGGTGTAGCCGCTTTGAATCAAGCTTCAACCACTCTGTCGATACGTTGTGGTCTCTGTACAAAACCACTGTGTGCAAGTGAATCAACTCAACGATTAACTGGACATACTGGCTGGGCATGTTCACGACATGCAACATCATGTGATCCAGCGACAATAACTTGTGCTTTATGTCATTTAGTTGTTCGAGGTTTATTTGTCTGGTGTAGAGGATGTAGTCATGGTGGACACCTAGATCATATGCAGGTGAGCATGTTGTTACGCCTCTCCACTTGTTAATACCCATGGAAATATTGATCTACTGACCTAAGCCTTCACATTACCTCTAGATTTTTTTTTAAAATATCTGTAATAAAGATAGCCCTTTTAGTTTGAAAGTTCCTATAAAATAACTTTAATGATAACCAAAACTGAGTTGTCAAAGGGAAACATGAGCACAAGTAGATGTATTAGCTGTTAGCGTGGGGTGAACAAGAATCAAAGTTCAACTAAATTAGTTGCATAATCACACTATGAAGTGGTCATTTTGAATAGTCTGTTAATTAGTGAAACCATTTCATTATTCGCGCAGTGTTTAAATCAAATATCACTAATTATCTTCATATGATTTCATGGTAGAATTGACGAATTTCAGTTGTTAGATTACTTGACACCGCTGAGTAACAACATCACGCGAAACTTATAGTGGAATCCGAACAGGAAATGACGAGTTGGCCGTGTGTCGGACGGATGGTAAGATGGAGGAAATCGGGTGATGAAGAGATGAAAGCTTATTGGTAATTGTGGAACCAACTAAAAATGACTGCAGAGAACAGGATGAAATAGAGATATCCTGTCGAAGTCGTATGTTTCACTCAAAATCCAAAGGTCTGGAGTAACAGGCTTAGGGTCATACTTAATGTGCCTAAGTTATGGTGAGCGGAGCTGGACTCGAGCCCTGAACCTACTGGCTTTATAGCTGATTGCTTATACCAATGAGCCATATCTTCACCAGTGAATGAATAAAAGCGACACAGTTCAATACGATTTATTACAAAATCAGCATACGAGTAAATTGTCACCTGCTTGTATGAATGCAATAAGTATATAATAGGATAGTTCAGAGACTCTTGACGAATTGGTATTCAAGATTTTCCATGAATACGCTTTAGCATGAAACACTAAAGTGAACATTTACAGAAAGCGTGATCATACTGACGATTACACATCAATTTGCATCCATGGAGCATGTGTTTAGTAAAGAGATAGACAGACTATCATGGAATTTCCATCACAATGTCATCGGTGTCTACAGAATCAAATTATCGAAAAGCACTAATTATATCTCCTTATATATATAGTCCCTTTTCATTCTGAGTGGAACATAAGGCCTCAATCAAGTGTATGCTTCCAAGCTTCAGTAGCAGTGTGTTTTTCCACGGGGTTGGAGTTGCTAGTCTCATACCTGATTTTCCCTCTTTACCTGGCATACCTACACTACTGGCTAAACGATGCTTAGCAGTGTATCGACCGGAAACTGAAACCTGGATCATGGACGTGATTCACTGAGCATGTACATAATCAAAACAACTTTTAACGATAAACACTCTACTCATTATTTATCTTTAATTTTAACTTGATCATCTTCTAGGCTTGGTTGATGAGGCGATCTGAATGCCCAGCTGGATGTGGTCATCGTTGTAGATATAATTGAATAAATATCTGTCGATACTTTCTTTCTCGTTACTACTGTTGTAAATTATTTCATCGACTATAATTAACATTTCTTTTTATTTGATTATCTTACATATATTTATTTTTTACGAATTCAAATGCTTTTTTTTGGCTTTCTTATTTTGTAATAATTCCATCTGTCTTTCTCTTTCTCTGCCCCGCTTAACTTATCCAATCTTGCAATAAAGTATCTCCCGGAAACAAGTTTTCTCTGTGATTTTCATTCACATTGCAATTTTTTCCTATAACACTACACGTCAGTAGCATAAAGTCACACTTTTCAACAACTGACGAATTTAATTTAAAAACTAATATTTTGGGCCGCCTTTTAGGAATATTTTCGGGTCGTTAGTTCTGTTGATTGAATGATAAAGGCTTAACGTGTTATTGTTTGTTTTTTAAAAGACAGTCATTCTTGTAAATTGTGATATTATTAATATTCCCGTGGGTTCCGAGTAGAAAATAGAGCTTCACCAGTACATCTCTGTGTCACCTTCGGGCCGACGCCCAACGCGCCGTTTCCCTGACTGTCACTAAATGGCACAACCCATCTCCATTTTCTTTTGCATAATTGCTAGGCAATAGTTTGGTTCCTTGTTATACTAGCTTTTTCTGGCCGGCTGCCTCATTGTCGGTATGTGGAGAGAAGGCAGCTCTGGTGGTAAAAGTCTGCAGTCTGTTTGGAATATTTTGTGAAGCGCCAAGTATTTGAAACATGTTCATTATGCTGAGTGCATCAGATTTATGATCAGTGAAGGTCCGCCTCACTTTTGCGATCCTCACTTTGACACTATCCCTACCGCCAGTAGCCAGAATAATCCTGCCTGGATAAGTGAAAAGGTGAATCCCTTAAAATTTAGTCCGTTGGTGGTGATTGCTTCTTATTGAAGGAATTCATATATTATATAGTTCAGGGCTTTGCCAGTGATAAAATGTTGTAGCAGTAAATAATTTCTCAAAATTATTAGACCTCATCATCGGGTTCTTATCTTCACTGTTCTAAGTCGACTTGTTAGGGTGAAGGTTCGCAGTCAATCATCAACGCCATTTAGGCACGCTTTTGTGCACGATCCTCAAACTATTTCAGCAACCGTTATCGCTCAACATTTCTGATCCCGAAATATATCTCATATTTTTGAACGATCAATTTGTTGTTTTTGTTTGTACCTGGTCAAAGCAGAACATGCCTTCATCTCTCAAAGTGTTAAAGAGCAAGAAATCTTAGTGTAGGTAGTAATAGTGAAACTTTTAGAATTTCAGTTAAGATAATAAGTTTGCTTTGCTTGCTAAAATCAATTTTGAATAAGAATATGTGCCTATTAAATTAAATCGTTTTTTTTTAATTAAGTTGACTGTGGCTGCAGTAGTGGTGAAATATCTGAAAATGATGATACAACAGTACGTTGACATGCTTAACTCATGAAGTTTAAGTATTGGTTTGTAGGGATTTGGTTGATTGGTTACAGGATTTCATCATGAGCTGACATGGGTTAGAGAACCATTGGAAAACCTGAGAGTACTGGACAGCTGTTTCGTCCTAGTTTGGGACTCTTCATCAGTACGCACCCACCACCACTGTCCGAACTCAGGACCTTCTGGTTACAAGGCGAGCCAGCTCGTAGACCATTAAGCCACTGGGACCCGATCCAATGGCCAACCCATGAATTCCAACTTCTGCCAATTCACGATATAGCACAACCGCTAGCCAATGTCTTCGGCGAGCGCTAGCGGTTGCGGTATATCGTGAATTGGCAGAAGTTGGAATTCATGGGCTGGTCGTTGGATCGGGTCCCAGTGGCTTAATGGTCTACAAGCTAGCTCGCCTTGTAACCAGAAGGTCCTGGGGTTCGAACGGTGGCGCTGGGTGCGTACTGATGAAGAGTCCCAAACTAGGACGAAATAGCTGTCAGTACTCCCAGGTTTTCCAATGGTTCTCTAACCAATGTCAGCTCATGAGGAAATCCTGTAACTACCAAGTTTCATCTGCCCTAATCCTCTTTACAAGTTTATTAAACACATTACTACTTCCATACATACCCTTAACTCAATACTTTACTTTCAGGCTATGCTTTACATGTGATCACATCCTATAAGAGTGGGATATGGTAAAAATATTAGAAGGTAATAAATATAGTTAGGAGAAAAGAGAGATTAATCACCGAATCTTTGTCACACCAAATGCAGGCAACAGGAATGAACCAACATCTACCACGGATATATGGGAAATTGTCTTAGAAAACAAACAGGTGGGATCAAGGAGCTGCATAAAGCAAGTCATGCAGTCGAGTGAATACAATTGATATGAATTTTTTTCCTTCACGTTCCCAGTGGAACATAGGGCTTCAAGCTAGTGGCTTGAAGTTTCTGTAGCAGTGTTTACTTTTACAGGATGGGGTTGCTAGCCTCATTCCCAACCTTTCCTCTTTACCACCATTATTTCTGCCTCAGCGAGGTAAAGGAGTGCGTCAATGGCCGGGGATCGAACCCCGGACCATGTGCATGGTCGGCGAGTGTCCTAACCACTATACCACCGACGCACTATTGATATGACTATGAACAATTAATTGTCCTCTGAAGCACTATCCATCACTGTGTATTTTATCAAAATAAACATATCTAAAGAAAGTTACAATGGGTGACTAAGGCTGTTAGAAATAGCCTATAACTGGTAACTTAAGTATCTCTTATCTGGTTTTATCTTTTCAATGTCTATGAAATCCAAGCCACTGTAAGGATACTTGCTTGATTATCGCTGTCCCTGAAAAAAAAAACAATTACATCCAACAGCAACACCATTTACGCAATTTTCAGGTGTGAAGATGTGAGATGAGCTTCGGTGATTTGGACTGTATGTTACAAGTACCAGTCTGTGATTCGTCGACCTGTGGAATGAAGATTACCTTTACTCATTTTACCATTGTTATATTCTCCCTCAACTGATAACTGCTACCTTGACATTGTGGTTGGATTAGCATATCTATCTCAACCACCCAACGACTTACCCAGGCTGGAACGAATGTTCCTACAGGTCCTGTACTACTATGTGAGTAAGATCGTTTAGAGAGCAGTTGGACTAAAAGTAGTTTCCATCATAGTGTAAGTCACTCATGCTATGTTCGGCGTCTCATGGAGAATGGCGACGTAACAGCAGTAAGGTGTTTCGCACCCCCTCCCCCAATTCAAGACAGTCAACCTCAAACAGTTGTGTCTGTGGGCTCCGTGTGCACCCAACACTAATAATACCCCTCCTCCTCTTTCAGGGAGGAGAAACTTCTACAATTTGCGCGCAGCCCAGAAGTAATAACCGTCCGCATGCTACCATGAGCACACAAGACTTTCCCGAGCTGTTATAAGACTTTGCATAACTTATTTCTTGATCCCTACCCTGTAACAGATTTGTGTAGATAACATGAAACACTAGCTTGTTCGTTTTAGTATCTTCATACTTTTGCCTGTATCCTCCCTCAATTCGCGCTATTTTTGAAATATTGACAGTTTCAACAGTTACAGTTCAGTTAAAGGTACAACCACAGTTGTTGTTTTTTTTGAGATAGTGTACCAGCTGGGTCTACATTTCCAGTAAAACAGTACAAGGTTTTGAAAACATGTATTTAATTCATATGTATATTTTCTAAGTATTAATAAAATATAATTTAATAATACATGTTCGAATTTAATATACCACTAAGACTGCAGTTACCACCACTGTTCAATTCAATAGATGATACTATGAACAAAAGGGGTAGGCGAAAAACAGTCCCCTTGAAAAACAAGAGACAGTAGTAGTGTTAGTGCTGTATACAAAACCACAAAATATGAAGACTAAATTTAAATATTCTAGTGTTTTTGTTTTCATTTTTCTACATTTTTCTTTTGATATATCATCATCACAGTGCCATTCGACTTTTAAGTCTTTTCAAGACTGCTTCAATCACTTTGCTTGTCTTACTGTCACCACCTAAATCAGCTGTACGAATTCGTTGTTCGCCAATCACGTAAACAACTGCTTCACGAATGAGCTCAGCTTCTCGTGAATGATCTAGAAAATTTAATAAGAGAAAAAAACCATTACCAAAGGCTTAGTATTTAAATACAGTCACGGACTGACCTCATTTAAAGGGCCCTTTAAAACGAAAAGAGTATTGGACAGCCGTTTCGTTCTAGTTTGAGAGAATTCAGCTATTGGATTCCATCCCAGCGACTGAATAGACAGCGATCTCGCGTCATAACTTGAAGGTCCTGGATCCAATCCACCGGTGAGCACTACTGAGGAGTCCCAGGGGGTTAGAACGAAACAGCTGCCAGTATTCCCTATCGTTCTTTCACTGATGTCAATCGGTGATCTAAATTGAGGCAACGCATCAAAAGACTAAAACTAACGCTTAAAAAGGCTTAGTTATTAAATAAAATAGGTCGATACAACCAGAGTGTGATTTATGGCCAGTACTGACTTAGTCAAAGTTAATATCTCCTCAAAGCGACTAAAAGATGAAGTGGACTACTTTGCCCTATTACAAAATCAGAATTACTTTCATCTGACTATTAATGCGTATAGCTCCTAGGTGTATTAGTGTATGGTGAGTTGTACTCAAACTTAAACGACCTTAATATTGTGGTGAGAGCTGGCTGCTAGCCAAATCGGTAAACAGGAATTTACGTCAGTGTTTACGTCCTAAACATCGGTCGTGAGAAAAATAAGAACACAGACTGATTCAACAACCAACTACAGCAGACTTTGAGTAAGCGGATACAATTAGCAGATAGATGATTTGACATTCAAGAAACAGTCACAAAGAGATGAAAGATTAACTTTCAGTGAGAAACAACCAATTAAATCTGCTAATAATCTATAATAATGTACATGAAAATCTATAAATATTTGTTGATTTCCTTAATAAACGATCTGTTGCCTAGCCCGTGTCTTCTGTTGTTACAATAGCAGAAGTGCAAGATGATGCTACAGGACTGGACTGCAGCGACTCCTAGATTAGAAATAGGAAGTGAAGTGGTAGAGCACGTTGACCGCTTCACCTACTTGGGAAGTACCATCAGTCAGTGCCAACAGGTTGACCTCTGACGAAATCTCAGCACGGATACAGAGGTCTAGTTTCGCATATGCCAGTTTACGCCGTTTCTGGCTTAGCAGACGTGATATCCAGCTGGCTGTCGAGCAAAGGGCGGGTGTACTGCTCATCATTTCGCCCCGTCCTCCTTTATGGCTAGCTGTGAGACCTGCCCACCGAGAGTGGAAGACATGAAAAGATTAGCTGTCTTTAATCATAGGTGCCCGCGTTCTTTCTCCAGTGTGAAGTGAGCAATATTGAGGTTAGGCGTTGAGTACCAGGAAAGGAGGGGAAATCAATCGACGAGGCTGTGAAGTTACATCGACTGAGATGGTTAGGACATGTGTTACGCATGCATGACTAGTCATCGCCTTCCTCGACTGACGGGCAATGTTAGCTGATATAGGGTCAGGCTGGAAAAGAGCTAGCGGCGGTAAAACCAAAACATGCCACCAGTCAATGAAATCCACAACAATTAGTCTAAGCCACGTAGGAAGGTGTAGACTTCTTGGCTGGTTGGGGTCCTCGGGACGATAAAAACCAATGTTTGGAAACAGTTGGTGATATAGCTCAAAATCGTTCTCAATGGTTGGCGCTGATGCATCCACTCCTTGTGACTTATGATTTCCAATGAAATTGTTTTGTTCTTCGTTATTACTATTCCTTTGTCTCACACGTCTGTTTACTGTCTCTATTATGCATTCGTTCTACTTTCTTCTGTTGCTTTGTGTGCTACATGGAGGGAGTGTGGCGACTTGAACTGGTGCACATCGGTGCAAAGTTCTATGTCGAAAACAGACAATATCAGAAATAAAAAGCTGCGCTGGCTAGCTGAAATGTCCTGTTCAGCTGCTGACATTTTCAAATTACCCATCTGAAATTATGACTTAAGAACAAGTGGAATACTGGCAGCTTGGTGTGAATACTTTTGCGATTGTCAACTTCGTTTCTAGCCAAACAACACGATTTTCCCTTCGGTGCAAATCCCTTACACTATACTGTGATAACTTTTCGGATTGACACTAAAATTTCTAGCACGTTGAGAATTCCATGAACAGGCGGTTCACACACAATGAAGCCGAACAGACCTTCACTCTTCTAAAATCAGTGTGGAAATCATTGGCATTAAACATACGAAACAAGATACAGATTTTCAACGTTAAGATCAAGTCAGAGACTTGAAACGCTAAAAAAAGGGCATTTTCTACACGTTTTAAACTTTCCTCAATAGCTGACTGCTGAAGACACCTTAGCCAAGAAGGATTAGTAACAAAGAACTCTAGGAACGAACCAACCGGAAACGTCTTGCCCAACAAATATGCAGAAGAAAATGGAGATGGATAGGACAGACACTGGAGGAACCGTTGAGTAACATCCCTCGTCAGGAAGGCCGTAAACTGGGACCCGAATGGGAAGCGATGAGTTGGTTGTCGTTTTGAGGGTGACATGTAAAGGGTTGTGTGAGGAAATGAAAGCCTATGCATGATTGTGGAGCCAACTCAAAGGGACTGCAGAAAACAGGATGAAATGGAAACGTACTGTTGAAGCCCTATATTCCACTTAAAACTCAAAGAATAGGGAAAAATAAGTGATAAGATCAGTAGAATTAAAAAATGTCGTCTGAAATATGGAATTCCATAACCTAAAAATGAACCAGAAAATAAATAAACTTCCAAAAAAGGAAACTAAGGAATTAAGAACTCTGACTTACCTAAATAGTCTAACATATCTGCTGATGTAAGAAGCATACCACATGGATTGGCAATATTTTTCCCTGCTAACGAACGTCCAGAATTGCGTGTACCCATTTCAAACAGAGCATTCTGTGGTCCTAAATTAATACCGGTTGTAAGACCAGCTCCACCGACTAAACCAGCCGCCACATTACCAACTATATTCCCGTATAGATTTGGTAAAACAATCACATCGAATTGTTGTGGTTTACTGACTAACTGCATACACGTATTGTCTATAATCATATGATTGAATTCAATCTGTGTTCAGAGAGATTTTAATGAAATAAGCAAATAAGAGACATAACAGAAACATGAAATGATGAAAACAATGGAAAAGATAGAATATGCAAGAACTTAAAAATAAATTAAACACTGAGTGTCATTTTAGTGTTCGCATTTCGTCTTATTTGATACTCGTCACCTGGATGTACCTGCATTCTCCAGTGAGTGATTTCCCTTCCCACTGATACTTGAGTCCATCTGCATTCCACTGATAGTCACCATCCACCAAATTACTTCAAGGTAGTCCTCAGATACCATAGAATCGTCCGTACCACGGATCGACATGTCTACAGAGGCCGAACATTCCGCTCCAATCAATCAACAGGAAAATCATAACTAAATTAAAAACAAATAATAACTAAGTGTTATTTCTTGAAATTACTCTGAGTTCCCAATTAATTAATTAATTAATGATAGTGGATCGAAATGCCCAACCTCTGTGGACAAGTCAACTGTTCATACATACTCTTTGATAATGCTTTGTGACAAACATGATGTCACTTGGTTTGTGATGCCTGGCAGCGGAATCCAGGACACTCGTCTGTTCCCTTGCCCAATATGCCTGCATTGATAGTGAGTGATTGGATGAATGGAATTTGAAAGAACCATCTCTCACTACAGAGTTATCCTCTTTAATGATGGATGGTCTGTGACGTTAAACAACCACAAATTGACAGAAGTTAGAATTCACAGACTATCGGATTCCGTCCCAGTAGTTTAATGGTTGATCAACGGGCTCGACTCGTAACCTGAAGCTTCTGGGTTTGATCACTAAAGGGGGAATACGGATGTCTACTAACAAAGAGTCTCAAAGTACTAGGACGAAACAGCTGCCCCAAAACTCCCTAGTTCTCAAGGGTTCTTCAGCTGGTATTAATTTGTGATCGAATTTAGATGGACGAACTGTTGATCAAATGAAGTACTACCATGGAAAGTGAATAATGTCCAAATTTGAGTTGAATAATGAGTTTGTGAACTGATAACATATAGTATGCATGTATAAAATAAATTGTTAGAAACCTTGTAAAGATCAGCTAATAGATGGGCCACATCAGGTAGCAGCTATGACCAGTTGACCAGAACTAAAAGTTTTCTGGCTTCACCATCGGAATAGACTATAATATTAGTCACAAAAAAACTTGGAACAATATGGTACCAAAAAGATGAGCTACACAATAACAATAAAACAACACAGATCAAAAGCAAAATCATAGGTAGAGAAGGGGTAAGGTAGTTCATCTGGAAGAAAAACAGTCATATTAGACAAGTTCAAACAGTATTCGTCAATTACCGTCGGAAAGGGGAGAAAGAAGGAAATTGCAGCACGTTCTCCATTGATCGCGATTCTTGACCATATCCCATAATGTTTCGAGTCAACGATTCCAGCTATCTCTCTCGGACTTCAACCATGGAGTCGTGACGCACCAACCGATGCTAACCTAACACAAATATCCTTTACCCTACGACAGCATGTCATGGGCTGGCCACCTTACTGCTTTTTCCATCGCCCCTCCCCAGGGCTAGCGAACAGAGACCTGTACGGAAGTCTCTGGGATGACGTTGTAGCACATGTCCAAGCCACCGAAACTGGTGTTTCCAGTGATGACACCCATAGAATGGTGATCTCCATTGTGTCCAAACACAAGCCACCGGACATCAGAATTGCTCACGTGATGGTGCCACCGAAAGCAAGCGACGATCAAATACACAGAGTCGCCGTACATCCTCAGCTCGGAGAGGCCAGGTTTCCCAGGCGTAGAGCAAGACAGCATGCATCGAAGCATCTTTGGAATAGCTTGCTGTTCCTTAGACCACTTGCCTCAAAAACGAATTTAGGCTTCCTAGACCCGTTAGTCCTTTTCCATATATTAACTTCTAATTCTACTGAACTACATTGTTTAGATTAGTAAATATTTTTATCACTGTACTATTCAGAATTATGAAAAGTTAAACAGATGCACCACTGTCCCCGTTGCTTGAAACTGTAAAGTAGTTTCGTAAAATGTCGAAGAAATATCTCGACAACACAATAAAAAGAGAAGAAATATCTTCCTCGATAGTACAGTATGTCTGAACTCCATGCTATGCGCCACAAATATTGTGTAAAGGTTAATTATACTACCTAAAAGCCTTGGTCGAAGTAGATGAAGCGGCATTCGAACCCAAGACCTCTTGGCTGAAAGTCGAGTGTTTACACCGATAAACCACATTCTCCAATCTCTGCAGGACAAAATCTACTACTTGACGAATATTTTTACGCATATATCTACAGTGAAAACTTAATTCTTAGGAGTTGACATGAGTTTTCTACGGTATGCCTGCAAATCATAAAGGCATCGTTAAAACACAGTCAACAATTTATCGTAAAACATTAACTCTAATCCCCACTCATCTTTGTCTTCATCTATATCATCTTGCCTTCCTCCCACTGATGCAACTCCTCTACTTGATGGCTCCTCACTCCCTCTTCACTCTGTGTCCACTAAAAACGACGAAAGCCAAAAAACCACCACGGATAGTCTCCTAAAGCCACGCCACCAATTTCATATAGGAGCATTTAATGTTAGGACACTTTGCCAAATAGGACAACAAGCATCACTAGCTAAGACCCTGGCATCCCGAGCCATTGATGTATGTTGTGTTTCAGAAACACGCATACAAGACCCAAGTGTGGTTATTCACCTAACCCCACCTGGCCAACAGGATGAATCTTCAAAATTCACCTTGAGGGTGTCAGGAGATGCCACAGCTAGTTCACGAGGATTAGCTGGCGTAGGGATAGCTTGAGTACTAGGGCAGAAAAGACATTACTTGACTGGATCCCGGTAGATAGCCGAATGTGTGCTGTCCGTCTGAACGGATCAGTAAGAAGGAGAAAGGACTGCACTACTCGCCGATGCCTTTTCGTAATCTCCGCCTACGCCCCCACTGACTGCAGTTCGGATGAAACGAAGGATGAGTTCTACCAAAAGCTGTCTAGTTTGGTGAGAAAGGCTAAACGCTCAGATATAGTCGTTCTAGCTGGTGACTTTAATGCTCAAGTAGGGAAATTGTGTCAATCTGAGAAGGATGTCGGTGGCACCTATGGAGTTCCGTGCCAGCGAACCGACAACGGTGACCGTCTCCTACAGTTCTGTTCAGATAATCATTTGTTTCTTGTAAGCACTAACTTTAAACACAAGGAGAGACACTGTTTAACCTGGCGACCCCCATCATCAAACCAACGCTGGACACAAATAGACCACATAGCAATAAGCTATCGTTGGCGTGGGTCGGTAGGAGATTGTCGCTCCTTCTGGAACACGTGTGTAGATACCGATCACGCACTGGTCCGGGCTCGTGTGTGCTTACGACTGAACGGACGTAGGAAACAGCTGGCGGTAAAACCATCACGTCCCCAGCTCGATCAGGAAACTAAATCCCTATTTGAGGAAGAACTAGCTAAACGCATATCTGTGTTCGACAGCTGTGCTCACCCTGGAGAAGCCTGGAAGAATATTCAGTCAGCTATAGATACAGCTGTAAAAGCTGTGAATAAGGCAAATCCAAAGGTGAGTAAAAACCACTGGATTTCGACTGCCTCATCCGAACTGATAGATGCTAGAAGACTTATTCCGGCGAGCTCCGAATTCAATGAGGAGCGAAAGCTGCACAAAAGGAAACTTACTAAAAGTCTCCGCAAGGACCGTGAACAGTGGTGGGTGACAAAGGCGAAAGAGATGGAAAAAGCATTGGCGATAGGCAACACTAGGCAACTCTTTAGACTCATCAGAGAAACGGGCGGGAGAAGGCAAATCATAAGTGAGACTATTTCTGAGAAAAATGGCTCCTTAATTAGCTCTCAGGATAGACGCCTTGAACGCTGGAAAGAACACTTTGAGGAACAATTTAACTTGCCTACAGCCACACTGAACCTCCCCACATCCACACACACCCGAATGGGATATAGACACTGGTCCGCCGTCTGTAAGTGAGGTCACAAAAGCTATCAGTAATTTGAAACGAGGCAAAGCGGCAGGACCCGACGGAATTATTCCGGAGGTGTTTAAATATGGGGGTGACATACTAGTTTGTAGATTAACTGAGGTACTAGGCAAAGTCTGGGAATCAGAGACAGTGCCATCAGACTGGGGTAAGTCACTTATTATACCGATATTCAAGAAGGGAAACAAGTCCTCGTGTGATAATCATAGGGGGATCAGCCTAACGAACATAGTCTCTAAAATCCTAGGCTCAGTAATCATGCATAGACTAAGCAGAACTCGGGAGGAACAGACAAGGGAAAATCAAGCAGGCTTTAGACCAGGTAGAGGGTGCATAGATCATATCTTCACTCTTCGACAGATTCTAGAACATAGACACACTTTTCGGCGTCCAACAATTGTCATATTTCTTGACTTGAAGGCGGCCTTCGACTCCGTGGATCGAAAGGTACTATGGCAATGTCTGACTGTGAAGGGAGTGCCAAGAAAGTACATTGCACTAATCAAGGCACTCTATTCAAACTCACGTAGTCGTGTAAGGGCTTATGGGGAATTGTCATCTGAATTGGTAACAACCAGTGGTGTCCGACAGGGATGTCCACTTTCCCCATTTCTGTTTAACTTCATCATAGATATGCTGATGGAAGTATCCTTAACTGAACGTAATGACTTAGGAATCGACTTGTTACCAGGGAATAATCTTATGGACTTAGAATATGCAGATGACATAGTCCTGTTAGGGGAGGATGCTGACAAAATGCAGAGTCTTCTGAACACCTTGAGCAGCAATCTTCGTATGTTTGGCATGCGATTCGCCCCTGCAAAATGTAAGATGCTGCTACAGGACTGGACCACGTCAACCCTAACTTAGTGATAGGGAGTGAAGTGATAGAACATGTTGACCACTTCACCTATTTGGGAAGTTGTATTAGCACCAACGGACTGATTGGCGATGAAATCTCAGCACGGATCCGAAAAGCTCGAGCTGCTTTCGCTGACTTACACCATCTCTGGCGTAGGCGTGACATCCGGTTATCAACCAAGGGACGTGTGTACTGCTCATCAGTTCGCTCCGTCCTTCTCTATGGCTCTGAAACATGGCCAATACGCGTTGAAGACATGAAAAGGTTGACTGCTTTCGATCATAGATGTCTGCGATCTCTGTCTCACGTTAGGTGGTTTCACAAGGTAAGTAATGTTGACGTTAGGCGTAGAGTGTTGGGCAAAGAGGGAAAATCAATCGACGAGGCTATAAAGTTACATAGACTAAGATGGCTAGGTCACGTGCTGCGCATGCCTAACCACCGCCTCCCCCGACGGGCATTGCTAGCTGATATAGGTTCAGGTTGGAAAAGAGCCAGTGGTGGCCAAACAAAAACATGGCATCAATCCATGAAATCCTTGACAGTTAAACTGAGTCAGGTAGGGAGATGCAGACTTCCGGGTTGGGGCCCTCGGGACTCTAGGAATCAATGGCTGGAGACAATAGGTGACATGGCTCAAAATCGTTGTCAATGGCCAGCGCAGATGTATTCAGTCTCTGTAATCTTTCATATTCCTTTCTACCATTACCCATTCTGTTTCACTCTTATACTTGTCAAACTCTATTGATTCTCTTCACTCATCTTCTTGTCTACCTCTGTGTGCTATTTGGAACGTGGCAACTCGAACTGGTGCACTTCGGTGCCAAGTTCTATGTTGAATCCAGAGAGACAGACAGAAGAGTTACAGGACTTCATCATGAGCTAACATTGGTTAGAGAACCATTGGAAAACCTGAGAGTACTGGACAGCTGTTTCGTCCTAGTTTGGGACTCTTCATCAGTACGCACCCACCACCACTGTCCGAACTCAGGACCTTCTGGTTACAAGGCGAGCCAGCTCGTAGACCATTAAGCCACTGGGACCCGATCCAATGGTCCTTGAATTCTAACTTCTGCCAATTCACGACATAGCGCGACCGCTAGCCAATGTCTTCGGCGAGTATTTGTCCTCACACCCGACCTGCTGCTGGGAAGTCGTGACCAGTAGGGTGCAGCAGGTCGGGTGTGAGGACGAATACTCGCCACCGAAGACATTGGCTAGCGGTTGTGCTATATCGTGAATTGGCAGAAGTTGGAATTCATGGGTTGGCCATTGGATCGGGTCCCAGTGGCTTAATGGTCTACGAGCTGGCTCGCCTTGTAACCAGAAGGTCCTGAGTTCGAACAGTGGTGGTGGGTGCGTACTGATGAAGAGTCCCAAACTAGGACGAAACAACTGTCCAGTACTCTCAGGTTTTCCAATGGTTCTCTAACCCATGTCAGCTCATGATGAAATCCTGTAACCAATCAACCAAATCCCTACAAACCAATACTTGAATAAATTAAGAGGTTTGCTGGACACTGATGCCCAGTAGAAGGAGCTGACGGGTGCCAACAACCATTACTTACTTACTTTACTTTACTTCGGCTATCTCCTACGGGAGGATGAGCCGGCTTCATGAACGTCTCGAATCATCGCTGCCCAGGCGCGGCAATTTGTAAGAGAGTTCATGAAGTTTCATGGGAATTGGGTACGAGTGATGTCCCCAGCATCGCTCGGCCTTTTGTTTGAGAGTGCAGCTCTAGCCTTTACACAGCCAAGTGTGACCTACAAGGCAGTAGGAGTGGAGTAGGGAGTCCACTATCCATTGGCAGCCGGTGACCGGAGTTCGGTTCATACGCCTTTTTGAATGGGGCCAGACATCCAGGACATCCAACAAGCCCTTTGTCCATACGTCTGCCGGTGAGCTCCAGTGAGCTTCATACGCCAGTCGTTGGAGGTTTGGAATCAGGGTTTAGCCATCTCCCCTAGACTGTCATCCAATGGACAGTCAACCCGGTGGAGAGCGCCGGGCATCCGCTTTTGCCCTCTCGCTTTAGTGAGAAACACCTCCGCCACGTGAAGGCAGTGAGTAGGACTTCCTCAGGAGAGGCTATGTAAGACGCCCGGTCATATGGGAGCATTTCAGGTGTGCGGAGGGGTGGCCAACCCGCAGCGCAAGGCACCCACCCCTGACCATCCTGAGGCTTTGGAGGCCAACAACCATTACGAGAGTCAGATTCTAGTCACATTTTCACTTTACTTCATCTATTTTTTGTTTAATTCAGATGCCACAATGCTATTGTATATTTGTACGCAGAACATTAGAAATATAAAAGAAAACTTCTAGTTACGCGTGTGTTAGTTTTATTTCACTCTGTACAACTGTAAGTTCATTAAAACCCTAAGGAAAACCTGTTTTTCAGGTGTTGGTGGTTTGCAGGGATGTATATGGTCACAGGGTTTTATCATGAGCTGGTGGGGGTTGCAGAACTATTGGAAAACCTGGGAGCACTGGACTGTTGTTTCGTCCAAGTTTGGGACTCTTCATCGGTGCACACCCATCAAAAGCGTTTGAACCCAAGTCCTTCTGACTCGTAGACTATTAGGCCATTGAGACCCGAGCCAATAACTAGTCCATGAATTCCAACTTCTGCCAATTCACGATATAGCACGACCATTAGCTAACGTCATCGGTGAACAGTATTTGTCCTCACACCCCATCTGCTGTACCCCAGAAGCCAGGTAACTACTACCCGCCTGAATAGGGTCAGTGCTCCCAGGTTTTCCAATGGTTCTCAAGACCGATGTCAACTCATGATAAAATCTGTTTTCATCATAGTAGCTAAAATCACCACGTAAGCATATGCGTGTTGTGCGTCGGTGATTCAATGGTAAAATGCTCGCCAACCACTCGCATGGTCTGGGTTCAACCCCTAGACAACGTATTCCTAATTCTCTTCTAGTTTACTAGTCAGTGGTAATCCAAAAAAGAGGAAAGGTTGACAGTAAGGCCAGCAACCCAACTGCTACTGATAACTGATAATGCTTGAAGACTTATGCTGCCAAAGAGCAAAAAAAATGAAAAAAATGCACACACACACACATGCACATTATTAACACTAACCTGTGGATATTTTTTAGCCATATTAGAGCATACTTCTAAGAATAGACCATCACCTAACTTCATAATATTTGCCTTGTGTACAGCAGTGACCTTTTTACGATTATGTCGAACAGCATAGTCAAATGCAAATTGTGCAATTCTATGTTTAAAAGGCAAACAAATGAAATAATATATAACAACTAGAATAGATAATTAGTTATAAAGCATAAACATATGAGTGTGTACATCACCTAGGCCTAATTTAAGAATAGGGAGTGAAACAGTTGATTATGATGACTCCTATACTTATCTGTGTGCGTCGGTGGTACAGTGGTTAGGACGCTCGCCGACCATAGACATGGTCCGGGGTTCGATCCCCGGCCACCGACGAACTCCTTTACCTCGCTAAGCCAGAAATAATTCTAGTAAAGAGGAAAGGTTGGGAATGAGGCTAGCAACCCCATCCTGCAAAAGTAAACACTGCTACAGAAACTTTAAGCCTCTAGCTTGAAGCCCTATGTTCCACTGGGAACGTGAAGGGAAAAATACTTATCTGTGCAGTTATATTAGTTCTAATCGATTGGTCACTGACAAAATCTCTGGATACACAAAAAACAGTTTGTGCAGCACATTTTCCAGCTTGCCTCTCCTTTGGAGTAAATATGTTAAGAAGATATTGACCAGTCAACGCGTGTACTGTGCAGCATTTCACTCTGTCCTTCTTAACGGCTGTGAGACAAGGACAGCGAAAATGGAAGACTCTAAGAGGCTAGCTGCCTTCTTTCATCGGTGTTCACGTTCTATCGCCTGTGCCAAGTGGTATAATATGGAGAGTAATATTGAAATTAGGTGTAGCATTAGACAACGAAAGCAAGTCAATATATAAGATTGCGAAGCAGCATCGATTGACATGATTAGGACACACACGTGTTACACAAGGCAAGCTAGCACCACATCCTCGACGAACAATGTTAGCTGACATTCGATTAATTCATGGATAATCCCCATCCAGGCATTGGTGAAAAACACGTAGATCAGCGAAGAGTCTCTCTTCGGCAGCGAATTCATTTTCTTAGCTGTGCAATCGCAAATATATATCTGTTATTTTGTATGTATGTGTAGATTAAGTTTGTCAAACAAAATTACAAGTGGTTATGGTTATTTTACCTAAACAGATGAAGATTAGTAATACAAGTCAAGAAAATTGAGTTTTAATGAAATTAGGATAGTAACAAAGGTGATAAGTTGTCACAAACAGTTGTTAAAAGAAGTTATGTATTAATATGAATAGTTCGATGAGTGAGTTTTACTCAGGATGCACATAGAAACAAAATAGATAATATGAAATTACGTAAGAGTTCTAAATGAATACAAGAATTATAAGAAATTAAAGGACAGGCAAAGAAACAAAATTAAGTCATCAAAATAAAAAAAACTCAAATAAAATTTTAAAAAAGTTGTTACCATGACAGTAGAAGTGGTTGAGTAATCTTTTGTATGCGCAGCTCCAGTTTTTCTATGTGAATAGCCAGAGCTTCAGCGATACAAAGAAGACGAAACCGTATTGCCTTTGATAAGTTATTCTTGACTCTGTAGATTACTTTGAAGGAGGCGTTTGTTGAAATGGAATGATCAGTGTTAACCAGATGTTCAACTATCGCATTCCATATTGCACCTCTATTGCCTTTACGCAACCATGCTGGCTGGATAGTGTTCTTGAATCCTCTTGGACAGGGTGCGCGTCGAACGACTGCTATGGTAACAACGTTTTGATTTGATTTTTTTGTTTTGATGACTTAATTTCGTTTCATTGCCTGTCCTTTAATTTCTTATAATTCTTGTATTCATTTAGAGCTCTTAAGTAATTTCGTATTATCTATTTTGTTTCCATGTGCATCCTGAGTAAAACTCACTCATCGAACTATTCATATTAATACATAACTTCTTTTAACAGCTGTTTGTGACAACTCATCACCTATGTTACTATCCTAATTTGATTAACACCTAATTTTCTTGACTTGTATTACTAATCTTCACCTGTTTAGGTAAAATAACCATAACCACTTGTAATTTTGTTTGACAAACTTAGTGTAAACACACATACATGTACAGCCGAAAAAACAATCGATTAGTCTCGAAAAGAGCACATGAAGTACTACAGTTAATGTGGACTATGTAGGTAAGCACGGATTACTAGAATGAGGTCTTTGAGGTGCTAAGAATAAATGGTTGAAAACCGTTGGAGAAATGGGTCAAAATCGTTCTCAATGTCGCAGATTTATTCATTTATTGTAAACTTCTAGATTCATGAAATCCTCATTGTTATCCATGAAATTTCTTTTCTCATCCTGCATTCCAATTTTTCCCTAACTTTATATACACATTTATGAAGTGCGGCAACTTCAACTGGATGCACCTTTTGTGGAAAGGTGTACGTTGAACATACAATTAGTCAGTATATACCAGTTCATCAGCACTTACACTATAATCACAATAATAATAATATGCTTTATTCCAAGAAAGCACTAATGTTACAGTGTGGAATTTTCAGCATTTGGTACAATATTGCATCTAATTTATTTCGAATAATATAAAAAACAATTATAAAGATAATATTACAGGATTGTTAACTGCAGTTCTCATTTGGTATTAGTAGTGACGATAAAATCATAAACATACAAATAAAAAATTGTAAATAATAATAATAATGTTAGTAGTTAATATTTTCAGTTAAGTGAGAGATAGTGTCACCATAGAGATTACAAATGGGAGATAATAAAAAGGCCAATTATTTTGCTAACAACATAGAAATTCATAAGTTTCCCGGTCAACATTGTCTCTATCGCATAAAACATGGGCCAAATATGGTATCATTGAGTTCCTACACTTGGTAGTACGAGCACACTATCTTTTGTGCTGACTTCTAGTTCTACCAGATGGGATACAAGGGGTGAGTTGAAAATAGAGGGGATGTTGAGGGCTAGACAATGGTCGGATTTAGAAGATTTCTCTAATGAGTTTACATGCCTATTAACTAATGTAGCGACAAGCTGAATAAGTTGCACGCTACTTGCCTTACTGACAACCTTTAATACCCTTCTCTAAATAGCATAGTCCTTTTCAGTAGACTGGGAAAGACTAAGGGGGAGGAGCAGTAAGTGCAATAGGTAAGATACACGAGTTAACAAACTGCAATATAGGTTGAGTGATTCCAAATAGCTTTAGCTCCTTAATGTAGTAGCTTAGATGGAACGTTGTCAAGGTCAAAGGATAAAACTATATCAAGGTACTTCGTGTTATATCTAGTTTCTACTATAGTCCCCTCTATGCTACAAGCATCGTGTGTATTAATCAGTTGTTGTAGATCACTTTTATGTCTAAAAGATAAGTCAATAAGTCTGGCATTTTTTTGAGAGAGAGAGAGATTTAACGTAAGACCATTTAGCTTAAACCACTGACTGATATCCAACTAAAAGCTGCAAAAAGTCTGCAACAGTCTGACTGTGACTTGACAAGAAGTGAGATGGTCAGATCATCAGCAAATTTGACGAATTTGATTTCACTAGAAAGAGGTTTGTCGTGTAAAAAGAAAGAAAAAAGAAGAGGAAATAGAACAGAAGCCTTCCACCTATTGCATCTAATTTATCATAGTTCATTTCTTTTAACTTCATTATTAATTCCTCAACACTCATTAGAGAGTATGGTGAATATATTTACATTATAATTAAAACAAAGATTCGGTGGCATAGCGGTTAGGACGCTCGCCGACCATACACATGGTCCGGGGTTCGATCCCCGGCCATTGACGCACTCCTTTACCTCGCTAAGCCAAAAATAATGGTGATAAAGAGGAAAGGTTGGGAATGAGGCTAGCAACCCCATCCTGTAAAAGTAAACACTGCTACAGAAACTTCAATCCTCTAGCTTGAAGCCCTATGTTCCACTGGGGAACATGAAAGAAAAAAATAATTAAAACAAAAGGGAAAACATGAGAACAAACAGCTCAACAAAAGAAGATAAACCCACCTTGTAGACTTCTCTCTTGTTATAATTTTCAAGGATTCAACTACTCCAGGAACATTTTCATGCTCCAACTAATTTGTAAAAAAAGTAGTACACAATTTTTGATGAAATTAACCCAATATATAATTCATATTTAATAGACACATGATTCCATAATGTAAGCTTTAATTTGTTTTCAAGTGTTAGCTTGCAGGGATTTGAATGGTGTTAAATTTGACCACAAGGATTGATATCAGTTAGAGAACCATTGAAAACTAGAGAGTAATAGTATCTGTTTCTTCGTAGTTTGCGACTTTTCAGAGGTACGCACCCATGACCTTACCGAGAATCGAACCCGAAGCAAGCTCACCGACCATTTTAGACACTGAAACGGAATTCAGTGGCCTGTGAATTCCAATACTCCCTGGTTTTCAATGGTTCTCTAATTGAGATATCAATGTATGGTCAGAGCTGAAACCAATCAAATCCCTACAAACTCACTAGTGACTGGTTACAGGATGATATTGCTTGGAGTTCTAGAGAGAAGTCGTGAATACAAGAGGTTCACCAGGTTGGATATGAGGACAAATACTATCCGATGACACTGTCTAACAGTGGTGCTAAATATCAGGAATGCATAGAAGTTGGAATTTATGGGTCATCGGATTTCGTCCCAGTGGCTGAATGGTCACAACCGGCGAGTCACGTAACCTGAAGGTCCTAAGTTCGACCTTCAGTGGGGTTGTAGGTGTGTACTGCTTTGATCTGTATAATTGATACTGTTATTGAATGCGAAGCATGTTTGCTAACTTAACGTTGTCAAGCCCCAAGGAATGACTTTATGGAACTTAAAAATGCAGTTGTGCTGCCCTTAAGATTTTATATCGAATTATGTTGTGTAACCAAAATGAATCAGTATTCTCTTGTAACATAAGTGATTCTTTATATCTAAGGATAGTCGAGCTGTGGTTTACTGGTCTAGGCACTCAACTAATAACCACTGGGTGGTCACGACTTTGGAACCCACTTCACCTACCAAAGTTTAGTCAAACAGGCAGTACCTTTGACCTACACAAAATAAGTGTAGTTCATTGCCATATAAATAATATTACACTCTTAAAATGCTGTACAAAGCGCGCACTTTCCAAATGCATCTCTGAACATTATCCGACATGGTTAGCGAAAGGACAATGCAAGACAGTTACTAGGTCGATTCTCGAGCAAATGGTGAACTCAAGACACGCAGCTCCGCGACAGTCGTCTTTCAAGATTATCTACAAGGTGAGGCCAAGTGGTACAATGGGCGTTAGGTCTCGGCATTTGTGTGCAGCGGAGGCACTGGCAATTCGTGAATACAACCGGGGGCTCTGTATACGGAAAAAGTTTGTCCAGTCTCTTATTCTGCCGTGGTCTTAACCTCTTGATTAGTCGTTCTCTGTAAATTTTTTTATTTATTTTAAAGACTAGTTTGCTCTTACTTTGATAATTAATTCACTATTATTACTCTCACATGTTCCTTTTGTACATTTTCTAACTCTCTTCACACTTGTTAAATGGAGATTCAACCAGCTTTCTTGTCACTCAATAACAATTTTAATTTTATCAAATTTCTAACACTTTCTTCACTTGTGCCGTTGAGTATTACGTAATTTATAGCTTTTATTTTTACTTTTGAAGCCACTTATAAGTAATTATTCCAGTTATATCACACCTTTCACTCAATAATGGACTATACATTTTCCGTAAATATAAAAAATATGATTGTACAGCCTCCGAAGATGATTTCATCGATAAAGAAAATTTTCTTCGCTGAATTTGTCTTTTAAAAAGCTTAGTTTATTGTGATGATAATTATATCATATTTTGTTAACGACAAAATCAAGTTTATACTCGAATAGCATTAAAGTTATTAGAATACACCAATGGTCCGGGGTTCGACTCCCGACCGACGGACTCCTTCACCTCGCCAGACCAGTAATGGAAATTCGGTAAAGAGGAAAGGTTGGGAATGAGGCTAGCAACCTCATCCTGTAAAAATAAACACTGCTACAGAAACTTCAAGACTCTAGCTTGAAGCCTTATGTTCCGCTGGGAACGTGAAGGAAAAAATGAACAATAACAAGTTTAATGAGCATAACACTGGAAATAACCATCATTCTGCTAAGCCAGAGAGAACTGGCAATGCATATGATTTTAATATTTAGCCAATAATTACTTCTACCCACAAAAGAATAGCTGAAAACACAATACAGAAGTGAATAACTCTCCCGAAGATTAAGATATCAACTTTGTCAGTAGAAAATAAAAGTTATATGCTACCAATTGACTGACATGAGAAGTTGGACATCACACTCATATTAAGCACTTTTAGTGCTTTCTAGCCAGATTGTGAAGTGATCTAAACCCTGGGAGGTCGTTTCGCTCATTTTAGGCCAAGCTCATTAGCAGTGTGACAGGGTCAAACACAGTTCAGACAGTCGAATCACACTTTAAACCATCTGAATTCTGGTTAGCTACTCAGGCGAACTAGCAATACAAACTGTGAATTTAGTTTAGAAAGCATAAGTGTCGTGGTGTGATACAAACAATCGGTTCCAACGGAATATTATTCTCACAGTAAAAGTCATCGGATTTGTTGGTGTTAACATCGGAATAATATTCCCACAGTTCAATAATGCACATTAGCAACAGAATATTATATGTATTTGAACATTCTATTTCATGTCGTTTAATGTAAACCGAAATCACAAGCTCAGTGATTGGTTAAAGGATATAAGCTATATAGATATAAAGAGCTGTTTCATCACTTGGAAACATACTTTGGCTTCCGTGTCTTGCCTTCTACTGTTACATAAGTAGCAGATTATGCGGACGTAATCTAATGTTTTTTTGTTCTAACCTATGTTAGTTATTCAGGTGGTGTATTTCCGTGATTTAGACTACTATATATACTTATATACTACTACTTTTTTTATTATAGCTTGATTCCACATTGTATTTTTGGTACAAGTAAGGAATTTTCAGCATATGATATCGGTAGCCCAAATTTTGTAGGCCGACCATAGATATCAGGTGTGCGTCGGCAGGGGATCGAACCTCAGACCATATGCATGGTCGGCGAGAGTCCTAACCACAGTACCACCAACGCACAAAGGATACAAAATTCAAGTAGTGAGAAAAAGACAGAAAATGAATGGAAGTGCACTATTATATATATATTATATATTATATATATAACAAACACCATTTAAGCATTGTCCTTTTAGGAAAATCAAATTCATATACTTACACGACTGTATTCGCCTTCTGTATTTTCACGTATTATAACAATGTCAACATTTTGATGACGCGTAGTCACACCAGGAAAGTTATGACATCGTTGAACAAAGGCGTATAGATTTAATTTCAAACGAAGAGCAAGATTTCTTGATGATTGACCTGTGAATTCAATTTTAAACACAAATACGCATAATTTGACTACTTAAGTATGTCTAAAATATATACGTTAGTAATTTTAATTCCAAAGGAGACATTAATGTTGGACTAAAACCTCAGGGAATGACTAGCGAAAGAAAAAACGACTCATTGACTTACACTTTGCGGACGAAATAGTCCTCACATTGAGCAGGATACTGGGCTCGGTATGCAATACACGTCCCAGACTCATTGACTGACTCACGCTTTTTACCTAGCACTCCACGTCTAATCTCACCACTGCTTGCCTCTCTCTTCACCAATTCAATAATGATCTCTATATTCATATGCCTGCAATCGTTTCTTGACTTTGTTCTTCGGCCTCTATACCTCACAGAGAGAGCAGTACATACAAACCTCTTAAGTTAGTTAGGGATAGCTCTCCAGGGTCAAAAGTCATGCAAGTTTTGATCCTGACATTTTGTTAGTGACTAGTCGTCAGTTAGGGATGATACGATTTTCAAAATAAGTAGAGTAGCTATCACATCTGACCACTTCAATCTTGCTTTCAACTTTGGAGTCGGTGTAGGTCAGTCTTGTAGCATCATCTTAAATTCGGTGCTGAGTAGTTCGTTCCGTCCTCCTTTATGGGTGTGAGACATGGCCATTGGAAGTGGAGGACATGAAAAACCTGGCTAGCTGTCTTTGACCATAGGTGTCTGCGTTCTATCTCCCGTGTGAAGTGGTATGATAGAGTGAGCAATACTGACGTTAGGCTTCACTGGAATACTAAGTAAGCAGGGGAAATCAATAGACGAGGCTGTGAAGTTACATCGATTGAGTGAGATGGCTAGGACGTGTGTTACGTATGCGTGACTAGGCATGTCCTTCCTCGACAATGGGCAATGTTAGCTGACATGGGATCAGATCGGAAAAGAGTCAGTGGTGGTCAAACCAAAACTAACATGAATTCATCAATTAATGAAACTCATAACAGTTAGTTTATCTATCCACTTAGGGAGGTGTAGACTCCCTGGTCGGGGTCCCCGGGATGGTAAAAACCAATGACTGGAGACAATCGGTGATATAGCTCAAAATCGTTGTCAACGGCGGGCGCAGACGCATCCACTCTTTGTGATTTATCATATCCAATGAGAATATTGTTCTTCCTTATTACTGTTTTTTGCCCCATATCTCTGTTTATCTCTGTTTTGAATTTTCTTTTAATTTCTTCTCTTGCTTTGTGTCCTAAGTGAAGTATGGCGACTAGAACTACTGCACATCGGTGCAAAGTTCTACACTGAAACCAGTCACTCAGTCTTAAATTCGACAGAAGCGAACCGTACGCCACACAATCAAATTTCTGCTCAGGGTATCCAGAAGTAATGTTCACATAGACCTTTTTGTCTGCAAATTGTAAGTCGACGAGGTCTTTCTTTAGTTGCTGGTTAGTTCCAGAGAAGTCAAAACTAGAGTAAGGATGTATACACATTTTTACGCCTTGGATGTTCAGCACCACTTAATAGTGTTGTAGCTAAGCAACTGGCTAATACAAAACACCAGATCAACAAAATGGAAGGTGGTTAACATGCAAAACACTTCACGACCATCTGGAGAGTGATACTGATGCATATATTTGCACAGAAACTGGATGTATTTTGTAACCAACATTTATACCAGATATCAACTGTTAGAGGTAGTTATTATCTCCCTACATGCATGCATCGTAACTTTAAAAATATATCCCAAATTTAAACATATGCGAAATCAAATGAAGATTTCGAAACTAAAAAGGAGCAATGACTTTCGGAACAGATTGAATAACAAACAGGATTAAAACATTAAATTAGATCCTGAAAAATACATCAGGTAAAACACATAAAGAATGAAGTCGTAAAATGTAACACGTACCTGGTTCCGTAGCAAAGTTCCCTTTGATCCCTACACCATTACGTTTCATAGCAAGTAAGGCATCAGTAAAAGTTGCATCTTCGCACTCTTGATTCACAGAGACTTCTTCAAAGTCTATTGGTGCTCCAATAAGCTGGAAAACCTCTTTGACATAAGATAAGAGTTCAGGACCAACGCCATCCCCCAAAAGCATCGCAACTGTATGACGGCCACCATAGCAAGCTCTTGGAAATTCTTTATGAAACCCCAAGTTCAGAAAGTGCTTGGATCCAGCTGGAACATCCAAATCAGCATTTGTAATTACGTTGGTGGTAGTTGTCGATAGCAACCTGATTTTTGAACATACTCCCAAAGACTAGAAAAATAAAAGGTATTCAGTTTATTTCATTAAATATTTCACTCAAGCTTACAGCAAGAAAGTCAAAATTTAGCTAGTGTTATGAAATCCCAAAGACCTATAAACCAGTACATATCTTAGCCGTAAATCCTACAGTCGGTCACAAGTGAATAAATACTGTTCAACAACTTGAATATATCAGAAATAAATCTTAAGACTTTGCTATTGAGTGGTGCAGGTTTTGACTCTCGATGGAACATGAGTTTTTTCAAGACCGGAGGTACCTTTATCTTGAGTATTTGGTGCCAATAAGCAAAAGAGTCGAGTTCAGGGCTTTCCAACAATTACTTTTCCCATACATTCTTTTTGTTTCCTGGTTTCCTTTAAAATACCGATTACTGCTTTGACAATCCCAGTTAATGATTGGATGTTCTGTTATGTAAAACACAGGAGCAATGCATTTTATGGTACACAAATAACACTATTAAAAGTCAGTAGGTTTTCACCGTACTTGATATCCTGGTGTAAAGACAATTTCAGTAATTTAAAAACTCATTTACACATTTAGAAAGCACACTGAGATAAAAAATATATACCTTTTCAACTAGTTACTGATCGACAGCTCAATATAATATATATATATATATATATATATATATATAAAACATCAAAAATTATACTGATCATATAGTAGTGTTAGTCAACGGGTGAAAATAAATGACTAGAAATCATCAAGACAGTTAATCAGCAGAAATTAGCAATAGATTGCTTAGTTCATCGTTGAATTTCTGAACACCATTCATCTTGGTTAGGAGAAGGATAGAATTCAGCCATGCGTAGCTCAATACCAGTTCATCTTACATATGATTTTTATCCGTCCTTGTAACCATCACTGGACTTTGTTATTTTATCACGATTACTATTCTAGCTAGTTCAATTAATTTGTTTGTATCTTAGTATTCTGAAGGTAATAACATGTATCTATTCTTCTTAGGCATTATTACTTTACAAATTAGTGATTACGTAATGGATTGTTGCCAACTTTCACAAGTGAACTGATCTTGAATTCCATAATTATTTCCCCCTCCCTCACTTACACCTTAAAATTTGTACTTCTTGTTGATTAACAATCTTCTGCTAACTTTTACTAATTAACTGTTCGATGATTTCTAATCGGTTATTTTCACCCGTCTTATAAATATATATATGTTTTACATCAAAAAATATACCAAGCATATGGTTGTGTTAGTCAATAAAATTGATCGGTTGTAAGGTATTAGAGAGGAACCTTTTATCGCTCAATTTAATGGAAATTTCTTGCTTAAATAAAGTGGTAAGAAATGTGTCTGGAGAAAATGACAAAACATACCCAAATACTAATACAGATATGCAAGCATTTCGTATTTACTGAGTATGAATACTATCCAAAGTCCTTTTCTTCTGAAGTAGGACTAACATGAAGGATTTTAACCGCCTGAAATGACGCCATAGGGTTTAAAAAAAAACTGCAAAATATAGTTCCTTTGAAGGCTTTTTAATTCTATTCTATAGTGTTTACCATATATTTATGCTTTTAATGCCATTAAAATGAACCTATAGAACAAAACGTGTGTAGTTTCTGGAGTCAATTTCTTACTCTTCAGTTCCATAGATGTTAGCCGACATAGACTGAAGGTACTTATTTCTTAGAAGATAGTACTGTAGTCTAAATCAGGTACAGTGAACGACACCACTACATCCATAGGAATCGATTAACCAGTGATATTTCGTATAACAGCTGGAGAATAATTCAATCATAGGGTATATTTATTTGATAAAATCTCAGTGCTATACAGTATTAACATTATCACTCAGTGAATATTACTGTATTACCATGAGTCTTTAAAAAATAAATTTACTCTATGATGGGATTATACTCTACCACAGTCCCCAAGTTCTATTTTTACGCCAAAAATTAGAGAATTCTTGACTAAATCATTACTTAGGCTAATTCTAATTACAGATGAGATTTAGAAGTAACATGTAATTCCCTTGAACTGACCTGAATAACTAATTTTTCTAGACCTCAAAAGAATGGAAAACAACTTTAATAAACATACAGAAACTAAAGTACATTATGGAACGGAACAGTGTCAGCTGATACACACCGGGAACTAGGGAGCATCAAACATTTGTATAGTTCCAGTTCAAAAGTATTCGGAAATTCCAACCCGCGATCCACAATAGACAAAACTCACGCAAGTCAAATCACCAAGTCAGTACACTACTATCCAACTATGGGATAGAAACTTAGTGAACTAAGACTCCGAACTCATGAACCATGTATTTCATAGAATACAGTAAGGTATGGGAAAGAAATGTGCGGCAGCTATAAACGAAAGTGGGTGGGAGAGAGTAATTAGGTGAAGAATAATGAGAACCTTTACAATCTAGCACACCAAAAAAACTTTACTGACTGAGTTTTCAGCGTAGAAATTTTCAAAAAAGTGCAGCAGTTCAGGTTGCTACGCACCACAAGGAGTGGATAAACCTACCCCCCGAGAATAAAGATCTCGACAAATGTCGCTAAAGAAGTTACTGAGAATACCAGTCAGGCAGTCTGCGCCTATACACGGCTCAACCTAACAACCAAACACTGTCATTTTCTGGTCTGAACACCTTTAATCCTTCCCAACTTAGTTTTATTTTGGCTAAACTTCTTCGTCAACGAAAGCAGTAACTCATTATGCGTAATAAATATCCTAGTCATTTCAATCGATGCAGCTTTTTAAATTCATCGAATGACTATACCTCCTGACACTGCGACTAACCTCATTATTAATGACTGTATTGAGTTATCTGACGCAGGGCTTAAAAATCAAACTTCAGCGGTAAACAAACGACTAGTCTTCCCAAATCTTTCACTTTCAATAACGATATCTTGCGACCGTAAGAAAGGAGTAAAGTGCTGCACAGTACATATGTCATTCGATGGATGGCCAGCTATCACACCTGCATCAAAGATGACTTGGCATAGACCAGGTGTCAAAACAGAAATGAGCGTTCACACTACGATATAGCGCATCAAGTGGCTGAGACCTAATTTAGACGGACAGACTGAAAATATCTGTGCAAAAACAGAGTTATGGCCAAGTTTGAACCTCTAAATTGTCTTTTACGCAAGCAGCAAATACAATCCCCAGAACTGTCACCATACTGTCTAGCTGTAGGTCTTTCCTGGTGAGCAAAATACTCAACAACCTTCAGCGAGTATCACTATTTATTAAATACTAATACAACTAACCTGATAGATTTATCTGGTGTAAGCACTTTTTTGACTTATAAAATCGTGTCTAAATGGGATAGCTTATTATTCCTAGAACGTGTCAGATAGTTCAGAGAAATTGAATCTCTTATAACAGACTTGATTTTAAAATTAAACTTTAGAAATGCGTCAGGTAATGAAAACAACCGAATTTCTTGTTTACTACAATTGCTATGAACTAAACTAGTATCCACGGAACACCACCAGTTGTACAAAACATCAGGAAAAGCAGTCCTGGGACTAATTTGCCTGTCCAATATCCAATATCCAATATCGTTTTTACGAGCTAGTATAAACCAATTTGATTTCTTTGTGCTCGCTTCTTGATTGTGAGGTATAGGTTCTTGATCTTCGGTAAACTTCTGCGTAGCTTGTCCCGCCACTCGACTGTCGTAGCTTTGGTTGACTCCAAAGGGAGTAGTGCTGGGATTAATTATATGTGGTTTGTAGTATGAGGTATGTTAAGACTGTTACTACTGTGATTGGAGTTGATCCTTTCGCCAGTTAGTCCTTCGGTATTGTCGACAAGAGAAAAGAGATAGTGATAGTCCGCTGTAACGTATATGCGCTTATGTCAATAAGCTGAAGTGTCGGACAGAAGTAACTGAACAGAGACAAAACCACATATTTACAGGTCCATAATGTAATCAAACCTACTCGGGGAAACACTAATCTACATAATCCCAAGGTCGAATTCATTTTGAAATTTGGGGATTGTAAATGTCAATGTAGCACTGTTCCAATATCCAATATGCTTAGTACTAGTTGGTATACACCCAAATTGATTCCTCCATTCCTATACCTTCATGACGAGAAAAAAGTTTTGAATTTAAATGAGTTTCCTGTGGGCCATTCCTGTTATTCATTTGCCGTAATTAGGCAGGTCTCTGAAGTCAGAATGCCGGCTAGATATGAAAAGTAATTTGTGGTCTCTGCTAACCCATAACTGTGGTAACTGTCAGCTGGTTAGTCGTCCAGTATGGCTGAAGGAAATGAGGTAGCAATAGTCTTTTAAATAAAAGTGAAACTTATTTGAAGGAAGTACAGTTCAGAAACAAACATGATAGAATAATAATCATAGTTTATATTTTGTATAAAGGAGTAAGTTCACATGAAATGATTGACAATTTTACAGGCGCGGTCAGTTACTTTATAAATTACAATCGTGAAGTATCATAATTTAACACTTTATCAAAAGTTTAAATTGTTCGATTATTGTGAAAGCAATTAGAACAGATTCGCATGAATGTTATGTTGTAAGCCCTTCACTGGGGCCACCATTAAACTTGAGCGATAACCCTAACTTTATTCCGTTTTCTCCTAATAGTTATGGTGAACCAGTGAACGGGCAAGTGCTATGCCGCAAAGTAAATAAAAGCTGTTTCAGGAAGAGGAGAATGACCTGGGAAACTGAAAAATGGGAAAAATACATTTATGGGTAATACATCATTGAAAGTGTATTTACAAGATATATACATGCAGGAGATGGAGACTACTTGAAATGACAGTATTCATGTGCGATGTTTAGTGCTAGCCATTTTGGTCTTAGCATGGAAAATATGACGTTTTCAATGAAAAATATAGCTTTGCTCAAATATTGGTGTTGTTGTATTTTTACTGAAAGCAACCAGACATTAAGCAAGCAACAAATATGAACAAAGAATAAGTTTTAGCTTTGATAAATTCCTAGGGAGTTAAGATGAAATACAGCATAACACTGAGTAAATAAAAAGATCGTCGTGAGGTGGATAAAAGATATTTCGGTGGGGAGTGAATACAAGGGTGCGGAAGATTAGAACCTGTGACACAAACCGGCCTGTAAGATGTTTCACAAATTTCTGTAAGGCCCAAAGGGTAGCATCTTGACAAGAAGCTGGGCGGACGTGTGTAAGTTAAGAGCAAAGGCATTTTTAATTTAGGTCTGTCCAATCCCTATTGTTTTGTCTATTTTTGATGATCTACACTCACATTTAATTCGCGAGTTGTCAAAAATGCACATTGCTGTCCTACAGATCGCTGCAAATTGTATTTAATAAATAATAAATAAATAAATTTTTGCTTTATTCCAAAAACAGTACTCATGATACAGCAAGGAATTTTCAGCATTCAGTACAATATTCCATCTAATTTACTCAAAAACGACAAAAAAATTAAAAATACACATTACATAACAGTAATAAAACGATTGTTATAGCAGCTACATAGCAAAATACTGTATGCCATACGGAGAAAAATATGCATAAAGTACTAAATTGTAGTAATAATAGTAATACCAACTAAAATAAAATAGCAGAGTAACGATTTAAACGATAGAAAGTGTGACACCATAAAATACAGAAAGATGAACGATAAAAGGGTCGATTCACTGTGCTAATTACATAGTAACTTGTAAGTTTCACGTCTAACAGAGTCTTCGTCACATAAAGTACGGGCTAAATAGGGTATTGTAGAATTTCTATACTTAGTAGTACGAGCATATATCTTTTTATATTGACTTCTCGTCCTACCTGATGAGATACAAGGGGACAGGTGTGAATAAAGGGGGTGCAGAGGGTCTGACATTATAGCCTTTGCCCATTTCGTACAGGAATTTATATGCCTCTCGACTATAGTATTAGCGAGCTCATGCAGTGGCAGACCACAAGCTCTACTCACAGCATTTAATACTCTTCGTAATATGATATAATCTTTTTTGAGAAGCCCAGGAAAGATTAATGGAGAGCAATAGAGTACAATAGGTAAAATACAGGAGTTTAAAAATTGCAAAACTAAAGGTTGGTTGATACCTGATTGTCTTAACTTTTTAATGTAGAAGGTAAGACGAAACATTTTCTTAGAGATAGATAAGATATGGGATGACCATGAAAGGTCAGAGGAAAAAAATAATCCAAGGTATTTAATGCTTGATTTGGTTTCAATTTCCGTGCCATCTATGCTACAGGGATCATGAGAGTTAACTAGTTCAAGTAAGTCACGTCGATGCTTGAAAGTAAAGTCAAGGCCTGACATTTGGAAGGATTTAATATAAGACCATTTGACTTGGACCAGTTGTTGATGTCCAACAGAAAGCTATTAAGTTTGGAGCTGTCAGACTCGGAAGTGATAGGCAGTGATACAGTCAGATCATCTGCATATTTGACAAAGTTAGTTTCGTTTGAATGAGGCAGGTCATGTAGGAAGAAAGAAAAAAGAAAAGGAGAGAGGACAGCACCTTGTGGAACACCGGATTTTGTAAGCGAGGTAGAAGAAGATTTGCCGTTATATACAGTATACTGCATTCTATCAGAAAAATAGGAATGCAACCAACTCTTAGCCCAGGATCCTGTTTGTGTCAACGATAGGTACAGAGTCAAAAGCAGATGTGTAGTCTAAGAAAGCACTACGAACATATTTAGCACCTTTGTCTAAACAAGAGACAACATTGTGATATAAGACAACCGCAGCATCCAAGGTACTTCTACCATGTTTGTATGCAAATTGTTTAGGATCATTAAAAGGTTTCAAAGCGGGTTCAAGACGAAGTAAAAGTAATTTTTCCATCAATTTTAAAAAGGGGGAAGTAATTGCAATAGGCCGAAATTTAATATCAGAACCAGAAGATGGTTTTGGTATAGGGATAATTTTAATGTTTTTCCATGCAAAAGGTAGAACGTTACCGGAAAAAGAAGCATTAAAAATGTTAGTAAGAGGATAACACAAAATATCAGCACAATTCCTGAGGACAATGGCAGGTATGCCGTCAGGACCAAGGCTTTGAGAAGGCTTAAGAGACCGGAGACATTTAAGCACATCAAGGGTATTAAAACCACTAAAGTTATTGTCAATATGATTTGTATCATTTGGAAGGGTATCAACAGAAGAGCGTATGAAAGATTTATTAAGAGTGTCAACATTAAGAGATGGAACAGAAATACATCGCTTACCGTTAGTAATTTCTTTGAAAAGTTTCCATAAATTAGAAGGGGTTTTACATGACAAAAATCTTTGATTATATAAAACATTTAGTCTTTTTATTTCCAGTTTTATCAGAATGTTTAACTTTTTTACACCAGGCTTATCATTAGTTTTGAACAACAGTTCTTTATTTCTACGTAGCTTTTTGAGATATGGCGAAGATAAGCGATCAAATCGAATGAATAATGTTTCTTTAGGACAACATATTTCGAAACAGAATTTAAGATAATCGGTAGTGTTTGTGATTGTTTCATCTAATGTTTGTTCTGTAAATAAGTCCCAGTTAGTGTCTTTCAACATGCATCTGAGCTTGTCTAGGTTGTCTTTTGAGTAGCATCTCCGTTGAACTTTACTGTAGAGGTGAGAGAGGACACCTTTGTGTGATTTGGAATATATTTTAGGCAGTACACGTATGATGCAGTGGTCAGAATTAAGTAGAGGAGCACGTTTGCGAGCTTCATATATACCAACATCATTGATGAATACTAGATCCAGTTTTTTACCAAGACGGGTGGCAAAGTTAACAATATTGTCATGACCAAGTGATATAAGGAAGGAGCAATCGCTTCCATTGAAGTCGCCAGTTACTATTGATAAAGAGTTCTCGAAACAAGCTGCAGCAAAAGCGGTGAATTCATCGGCGAACATAGATAAATCCAATATGGTACAGCCAGGAGAGACATAAACATTAGAAATATAAATGAATTTGTATTTTGACAGGTGTTTCGGGCGACATCTCACAGTGATGCAATCAATGAAGTCATTCGAGAATTTGAAACAAACTTTGTTTGAAATGGACCATTTTGAGTGAATAAAAGTTGCAACACCTCCACCACATTTTTCTTGGAACAAACACGGTCTTGTCGAAAAACATTGAAATTGTTTAGAGACACAATATTGTCATCGTATGAGTCATGGAGCCAGGTTTCTTGTAGAGTGACAATACCAGTATTGTGGTAGGTACTAGAAGACAACAGAGACTGAAAATCCAGAATTTTATTAGGCAGGGACCGGCAGTTGGTACTAATGATAACTGGAACAGTGGTGTGATGTATGGGTGTAGATTTTAAGGCACGCTGCCAACCTCCATGGTGCTTTTTCTTGAGTTTATTGCAAATATGAAAGTTTTTGGGTTTAAAACGTTTTATAAAATCCCGGGAGTGGATAATACGATTAGAATGCATAATGTGATATGTAAATACCAATAAAATACGAGTAAATAGATGCAAAATGTACATGGAATGTGGTAGCCCAAAAATGTTCAAACAGGCCGCCAAGTTCATTACATTAGGACCAGTACCATAGCTGCGTATCACCATGTACCACCATCTCTGCTTTCTTGATGTTAAGCTGTGATACTTTTTAGCAGTAACTGTGGTTGCAGCATTGCATTGCTTTGGGCCCTTCCCAGTCATACAGTATGCTGCACATTATTAGCTTCCATGACAAATGCTCCCCATTATGTCACCGGATATGTCGATGCTTGAGGACATTCATAGCAGCATCACCTTCAAATATGTATATGTCAGTATTTGTTACAAACGCCTAGGAAATCAAGTTTCTTTTAAAAGTATATACCATGTAAGTAGCTAGTATTGCAGCAAATAACTTATTGACTGTCTAGCAGTGGGTGGTGGAACAATTAGTGATAAAGTTATGTGGAGTGATCCTGTAGAAAATCGCTGGTTGACAGAACTTCTTATACTAAATTTTCGTACTCGAATTTCACATGATATGAGTTAGAC